CAACCAGAAATGTCCTGTGTCAAGTACAGAAGCCAAGGAGCCATGGCCAAACACCTGGTGATTGCTAGAGACTCCACGGGTAGAAAACCAACCAGTAAAAGATTTTGTTTATCCCGGATAAATCCGGGGAGGTGGGATGAAGGAGGAGAGAGGGGAATTAGAGGACATTCTGCTTCCTTAGTCTTGAAGATAGGAAGCAATATTAGCTCTGAGGAAGGAGAACTGTCCCAGTTTGTCCCACCAGCGTGTTGACTGGTGAGAAGTTATAAGGCATGAACCACTTTTGCCCATCTACACAAACTTCTCTGGCATTATGGCCAGAATTTGTGTGGAAGGGTGAAGTTTCAGCAAGCAACTGTGCAGCTTAACTCTTCTCAATCTTCCCACTGTGATTCGTGATCAGAAATAAACAGGTCTTATAGAAAGTGCTCTAAAATTACCAACCTGCATCGGTTTACCACATGCTTTAAAACCCATGCTTTGCTTTCCCAGGACCAGAGTGATTATGACAAAAGCAAAAGGAACGTTTTTTCTTCCTTCCCGTCCCACACCAAGACTGCTTGCACGCATCCCTTTTCCTAGCTCAGCTTGCTGCACAATAGCCAAGCCAGCTGTCTAGCTGGTGTAATGCCCTGGCACGGTCTCAATAGTCTTTGCAGTAACGCAGTGTATACATACAAACACAGCAAACTAAAATAAGGCAAAATAAATAGAGGTGTCAGATTTACAGGTTCCCCTTAGAGATTCCTAAAACATTTTTTTAAAAAAAATCATTTAACCCCCAAATAAACAAACAAACAAAAAACCCCAAAACAACCAACCCAGAAACGAAACTGCATATATCATGTACATCATCAACTGTACAACTGATCTCCTTTTCCCTCATGGAAACTCCTGACTCGAACTTCTCCCATGCAACCCAGCTCAGGGCATGAGCTTTCCTAAAGATGAGGAAAGATTCAGCCAATGGGGCTGACCATTACGGAAACACCCGCCCCATAGTCTCCCACCAGAGCCCCTCGCAATTCTTTTCCCTTCCTCAGACACTGTGAACACATTACAGAAATGCTTCTGAAGGATGCCCAGGTCGTCTCCCTAGAGGGGAGTCTCTCAGCCCTGAACACCAGTCCTACATCTGCTCTTGCAGGGAACCAATGCCCGGACAATAGCTGTGCTGCGGGGCACGGAAGGGCCTTGATGCCTTGAAGTCATTTTACCTTGTACCATTTCCAGAGACTTATGACCAACTGAAAAGAGTGACCCAGATCAAAGGGAGTGGGAGAGGGAGAGAGTTCTTCAGTCTCTTCTGGGGTCATCCTAACACAACCTGCTTAAGAACAACACAGAGACACAGAGGTAAGCGAGTGAGCGCTAGACCTCTAGGGACAAGGTCTGGAGAGTGAGAAAGTACCTCCTGTTCTAGGTGTGAAGAACTTCATCATAAAGTTAGCAATGACTACGTTTCTGCAGGAAGCAGAACAAGCCCTCGATTACACCCTCCTTTCTCCCGTCTCTTCCTCCTCTACTTATTCCCAAAGACAGAGTGATTTCACTTAAAATGTTGGTGCTAGGCACAGGTGCAAGGACAACAGCAGACCCTAGCTCTTCTCCAGCTCTCACTGCGATCAAGAGGTTATGCCTCAGTGTTATACCTCATGACTGCTTGCTGTACCCGCTCAGGCTCTGCTAGCACTAGAGAACAAGGAATAAGATTTTCCTTTCTCTTCCAGCGCTCAGCAGCTCTACCACAACTGCTGATGAAGAACAGAGCATACATGCAGTACCCAAGAGATGACAAACAAGGACAAACTTGGCATCAGCAAGAATCTGACACCAGGCCCTAGAGCAGAGCCAACTTTTTTGCTTATCTTCTGTGTGGTCAGCCTCATCTCATACAGCAGATCTATTAACGGGCCTCTCCACTTGTCACCACTTCTGTGAAATCACTGCTTGCCTCAGTGCATAACTGAACTTTTCCAAAACCCTCTTTACGAACATTCACCATGGATCAGAGCCATGGGGGATTGCCCAGCATGCTGATCAAAGCCTTCAGCCACCATCACAGATTCAAAACAAGATTTTGGGGCACCGGAGTGCTGAGAAAGTTGAGCTGCAGTGAGTCAGAGGCACGACTCCAAGCTTTCTATCAGTCCCAGTAAGTATCCCACAGCTGATTTATAGGAGTTGCACAATCTCTTATTATTTGTGTATGAGTCAAGGAGGTGGCAAAACCACAGCAGCTCTCTAATGAGCATAGCCAGAGTACCGTGTACCATCATATAAGATCTCTTTAAATCAGGGTTGAACTGTGTACACAAATGGACAGAGGGCTTATCACTCTCTGCTTCTGCTACATTTGTGGCCTGGCAAAGTGACTTCAGTTTCAAAAAGCACAGCACAAAGCTGGTTTGACAAATACCAGGGCAGGGGGAATGCTGTATTTATATTCAAGGGGTTTGTCCTGAGGTGTTTCTTCTCTGACAGCACTACCACACTGACAGTCTGTCTTATCAAACAAGTACCTGGGGAGCAAGCAAGCAGCCGTAAATTGGACAGAGCCACGAGTCAGATCATCTTGCACCAGGGCTGACCTTGGCACTACACCTGAATTTCTGAGTGAGTCCTAAGCCCAGGGAGAACAGAGGGGAAAAAAACTACAATGTTCTAATCCCTAAAAGCATCGTCTTTGGAATTCAGGGATTACTCAAATCTAATCTCCACCGTATACCAATTTGGCACATATTACCACCTCTCAAATGGCTTACATGGCATAGGTTATATGGCATGCTTTAAAACAAGACAAACAAACAGGAGTGGGACATAGCATGTCTACTTCAGGGAGCAGCAAGTAGCTTGTTAATATAATTTACAAGAGATATTTCTAAAAATTAATTTTGTAATTTAAAATAAAAATGCTTAAAAAAGTGAGAGTTTTTCTTAAACTTTCAAAAACCGTTATGAAATACAGTCTTTGTTCTACAAGGTGCTTGTGTCCACTGCAATGGGCATTGCTGTTAATAGCTAATCCCAGGAGGGGAGCGGGATAGTAAGGGAGGAGAATGCACCCAGCTCTTGTAAGATACCAGCTCTTTACGATGAGTATTATACAGAGGCGCGGCAGTCTGGAATGTTGTAAATAGGAAAATACTGGGGTGGGAGACTCAAAATTCAGTGAACAGTGAAACATTAGAGTTTAACAATTCTCACTTTTTTGCTTCTTCCCATAGGTTACATAACTATTTTACTCTCAAAGTGTTCAGAAAACCACCACAGTTTGCTTCTCCATTATCGGTAGTGTGTAATACTGATCAGGCAGTGTGCACGGCAAAGGAAGCTCTATTCTGCAGGCTCGGTGCAGAGCCAAAGGTTAAGTGACATTCAGAGAAAAATCAAACCAAATTATTAAAGTGACAAATAGAGCTCTCTTCACTTCCCTGGGATTCCTTGACATTTTGTGCTGTTGACTATTGATGCATAGTTTGTAGATGGTGGGTCCCTCTTCTCAAATGTTCTCTCTTTTCTTCTTGTCTAGGAGGAATAATCCCTCACCATTTCTTTCTTTTACTCTTTTTCTTCTCCAAGGAAGATAATAAAAAAGGAAGACAAGATCAAAAAAAAAAAAAGGCCCGTCACAGCCCACACAATCCAATCCCTTTCCTAGAGCCATGAAGACACACAGAATTCAGGCCTCTTCTTGGAGTTGTTTGCTTTTTCGTTGTGTACTTCGTACCTTAAATACAATTTTTTTTTTTAATTTCTTCTGAATCAACTCATTTCCAAAGCCTTCTCGGCATACACAATTCTGTGTCCTCCTGGAAAAATTCTCAGTTTTCATCATGGGACCCTCCGTTGGTTCATCCCAAGTGATCCCTTCAAAATGAAAAAGGCTGTGGGCTCCAAGGCTCTCCTTCAACACCTTCACATCTTACTGAGTTACATGATTCCCCTAGGTAGGTAGGTGTGGGGTGTGTGCAGTGAAGGTCAGCCTGTTAGACAGAAAGACCAGTTCATTCCAACAGCAATCACAGCTGGCATCAAGTGGAAAAGAAATCTCATTTCTTGAAGCCAGTGATCCCATTTGCTTTTTGCTACTTGCGACCTGTAGATGATACTAGGGAGCTCCTGACTTCCATTGGGCTTCACTAGGAAATCTTGCGCAAACAGGTAAGAAACGTTCTGCTCTTTCGTGACTTAGTTTTAAAAAAAAAAAACCAGCCAGAGCTTCTTTCCTAGAACACATATTTCATAGCTTCGAGGCTCAACCACCAACAAACTCCAGAAATCTCCTTCTAGAAAAGCAGAATCCAAAAGACTTTTGTGAAGTATTTTATGTTGATCCTGATTCTTGAATTTCAATTTGTTCCAGAACCTGATGCTTCCTTCTGAGTATCACTTGCTTAGGTCAGTGTAGGCCGCACAAAAATACCTCAGGACATGAGATAAAAAGCATTTTTCAGGTGCTAATTAATGGCTTATAAAATCCAGTTCTGGGCGGGAACTGGAAACCTGGAGGACCACATCTTGACAAGACCCAGAAGGCCAGCCTAGATCTTGGAGAAGCGATAGGTGTTTACAAAGCTGCTGTGAAATTAGTCTTGCTTATTATCAGCAAGATGGAGATCATAACTAGTTTTTGCTTTGGCACACAGAAAATTATCTTTCTCCAGCTGTGAGGCAGTCTGCAAGGCCCCAGTACTTTCTATCATCACCATGAGGCCTTTGATGACACAATAAACTCCCAGAAGCAAATCTGTCAGCTCTGCATGGCCCAGTCACAGGCCCTGCTGGCTCCCACAGAGGCACTTTTATAATGGTTCAAATTAGGAGCACAGAGAAGGGATGGGAGGAGAGACGATCATGGAAAGGTAACGTCTCTAGCCACAGACCAAAGAAATCCTTTAGGGCAGCTGTCAGCAAGGCGCCATCGCACACATTCGTCTTCCTTGTTTTGCACTTTTTCATCACCTTCTTTTGGTTGATGATTTTTCTTCCTTTTGTAGTTAATAATTTAGCTTTGTCACCACCCGCTCCCGGCTTGTCTCTAAGCCTTGGTTCCCTGAACGCTTGCGGTTACGCTTGAGCTTGGATAAGTCTTTATCAAAGACTTCACCCGACCTTAATGCTGATACCAGGTCATCAAACTCCCCACTCTCTTCAGAGATGTTTCCAGCTTTTGCCTTCTTTTGCCGCCTCTCTTTTTCCCTCTGCTCTTTTAGCTGTGGAGAAAGACACAGAGCTTTAGGATTAACTAACCAAGATGCCAGATCACGAGGTACACTGCCAAGAAGCAGCAAAGATGCGTCAGTACACTTTAGGGAAAAAAAAAAAAAAGAGAGCATGAGCTTATCCACAAGGCCATCATCTGTGCCAAGAGTTAACAGGCGACCACTCTGGGCTTCCCTTCTGCACAGGCAAGCAGAGAGCAGGAGAGATGAGGAGTGAGTAGCATCATACGTTTGCCTCACAAAGTACTACCACCCTGGAGCAAAGAGGACACCTGACATCTGTCTACGCTGCTGCCGTTTTGCACTGATTTGACAATAGGATCGTGCCAGCAAAGTAGCTGTGCCAAATGACAGCCTACAGGTGATGCTGGCACAGGTAATTACCCAGCTTATGGGACCAGGCTTGCAGCGACCTTGGTGTGGCAGCACTTACCATACTAGCAGTACCTAACCTAGTGAGCTTAAAGTTAGTTTGGATGTGTCTATACAAACCACAGTCATTATTATAGTCACAAACAGCTTTGCACTTGGGGCATAGCTAGCTAAATTGACAGGCAGAAAGGCTGCAATCCTGCAGAAGGAGGAAAAGAAGAAAGCAAAAACCCCAGAAAGCCACAAGCTAAACACACTGGAGAATGACAACTGTGTGAGATATCAAGACATCAACAGAAACTGTTTCCACCAAACAGCTCATGTTTGGATGGAGGCAGCGTGTTGCAGTGGTGGGAAGAGGAAGGCATGTTGCCTCGACTCTGGAAAGAGAAACTGGTTATAAACACAAAGAGCGGTGAGACAGAACTGCTGATTTTACAGATCATTGGATAGGTCCACCTGTCAACGTTATGCCCTCAGTCTCCCTAGGGTAGCTCCAGGGAGCTCAGTTATCCCCGACCCTGCTCAGCTCCAAGACGAGTGGAAATGGCAAGGGATGGATGCAGCTGTCAGGAAGAAGATCACTTGCTCTGCACACTGGCCCACGTTGCAGCACGACTCTTTCCATAAGCAAACTGCAACTTCTCTCATGGTGCAATAGGCCTACAAAACCTTCCTAGAGCTTTAACAACGGGCTCCTGCACTTCCCAGGCTGGCTGAGAGGAAACTTGAGCCTAAATCCCAGCATTTTATCCCTGTGTCCAACAGTAAGGCTGCTGGCACCCGAGCATTTTACCTCTCTCCTTTTCTGAAAGGCACCAACCGCTGCTTTTGGCACAGCAAACATTTAAAGCATCAACTCCCCACAGCGAGGCCTGGGGCCATGGCAGTGGCAGGGGGGAAGAAGACAGCAAGCTGCTGAGCCATTCTCAAGCCTCAGGAGAGGCTGAGGCTAGACGGGGAGACTAGTTCACACAAACCCCTGGGAACACACACATCTGTCTTCCAGCAGCAAAATCAATGATACAAAAGCTGTCTCATCAACGTCAAGGCCAGACACAGCCCCAGTAATCAAGGCATTAATGCTGGCCAGAGAGAAGTACTGCCAGTGGGGGCTGCAGCAGGTGCCAGGCGCCTCAGGAGAGGCTGAGGCTAGACGGGGAGACTAGTTCACACAAACCCCTGGGAACACACACATCTGTCTTCCAGCAGCAAAATCAATGATACAAAAGCTGTCTCATCAACGTCAAGGCCAGACACAGCCCCAGTAATCAAGGCATTAATGCTGGCCAGAGAGAAGTACTGCCAGTGGGGGCTGCAGCAGGTGCCAGGCCACTCGCTGTGTCACGGTACGCTGTCAGGCAACAGGTACACTGCAGGTGGTGATGGAGTCTGAGTGGAAGCTGACCAGCTGGCAGGACCAAGGAAGATCTGGTTCCCAGAGCTTTTGCACAGAGCCTGCGTCCCAAAAGCAGAATAGTCTGGCACTGGGCAGGGGCAGCACCATGCTGCAAAGTGCCAGGGCAGAGCAGGCAGGGCTAGATTTGGTATCTGAATCTGAAAGAGTGCAATTTAGGAGCCAAACAGTATGCCCTTGAGAGCTGACAGGACAACCAGCAGGAAAAATATCATCATTTGTGAAGAGAATGATGCCAAAGAGAGGTGGCAGGGAGAAGGACATAAAATGGTGACAGGACATGAATATTGAAATTGGCTCTCTAAACCTTTCTCTCTAGAAATGAAAAGGCAATGGAAGGAAACACCTTTCCCGTGCCCAGCTCCTCACCATGGCCTCCATGCGTGCCCTGCGCTCCTCTTCTTCCTTTTTCTTCCTCATATTCTCCAGATCTTGCTTGGCCTCTGCAAATGACTGTAAGAAAGTGTCGAAGATGCCAAAAAATTCATCTGGCTGCATCTTGCCCTCGCTCTCTCCAAAATGCTTCAGTGCCTTGGCATACTGTCAAGGGGGCAGAAAACACAAGAGCAATAATTAGGCAGGCAGTTTGGTGAAGAAAGTGAGGAAAGCTTATGAGTGAAATTCAATACCCTCTGAGCATTCATGTGGCAAGAGCAGAAGCTACTCCCCAGGAACAGAAGCGCCTCTCCTTAAGGCAGGTGCCTCTGTCCCTGAAGAATCTGCTCTCCTGGATATCCTCTGGGCAACATGGGGCAGAGGTTCTGGAGAGCACTAGCTCTCCACTTCTACAAAAAAAAACCCCTGCCTTCAGTGCCTGAGGGTGGTGGAGTAATTTCAGAGGACAACCATCTGATCACTTCTTCGCTGCAGCTATGGGACAGCAGGGGCACAGAAGGCAGTGAGTGAGCTGCGAGAACAAATAGTTTTAGCCCATCCTTTCCCCTTCCACCTTCCCCTCAAATCCACTTTTTAAATGGCTGGAATCAGAGAGGTTTTTTGCAATAATGTTACAGTCTGTCCTCTCAGGAGCCTTTTGCTGTGTCATCCATCACTCTGGAATCCTCCAGGTCAGGGTGTTGCCTGGGAGAGAGGTGATTATGGGCAGACATGGCATGAGCAAGGGGCAAGGAAAGCAGCCAGAGCTCCCAGGCAGACTTAAAAGAGAGTGAATACATCACAAGTGGCTTTTATTTTAGAAGGCAAATGTTGAGGCTGCAGGACACATGTGGAGGCAGCCAACTGGCAGGACTTCAGTCACAGGGAAGTTCTGATCGGGAGACGGTAAATTCACAGCAACCCCTGGCTCTTGGACATCAGTCCTGCAGTAGTTGTACTCTTTTTGCTCTCTCACACTCACAAACATGCCTCTGTGCTCACCAGAACACACTCAAATGTACGCACATATAGCCTGTCAACAGCATGTACACACGTGTCCTCTAAGTCTGATGTAAGCGTACACAGCCAGAAGCCGTATCATTGTCCAGCCACCTCCTCTCACAAACCTCTGCACCGTACCAGGCAGCCCCGGCAACGCGCTCCTGGCAGCGCTAGCGCCCTGACGCACAGATCCCTGGCATTCCCTGCTTGCACTTTAGCACACCACCACTGACCAGCAGAGCATCCTTACAAACCTCAACTTGACCAAACTAAACTCCAACTCTCCCAGGCAATGGACTGCCTTCAAACACTCTGCAGTGTGTATTCAGCTCATGCTAACACAGCCCAGCTTCCCTTCCCTTAGATGGGTGCTCTTGCAGAATGGAAAAGACAGTAAGAACAGTTCAGGCTCTGAGCCCAAGGACAAAATGAGTTTTGAAGCAGGTCTTATAAACCCCTCTGGCCCTGTACCAGGTAAAGCATAAACAATGTCTCCCAGTCAACTGCAGGGGGAACAAATCTCCAAGGAAAGCAACTTCCTCCTGGCACAGCCTGAGAGGTTCAGCATCTCCCCTCCTCTGCTTTCCCTGCCAGGCCCACAAAAGCACTTTGAAGCAATAGCTTCTTTTTTCTTTAAAAAGGCTGTGTTCTCAGCCAGAAACAAACAAAGAAGCCCAAAGTATCTGAAACAAAAAAAAAAAAAAAATTGTTGGAAGAAATGCAAGTTGCTTTGAGCTACCAAACATGGCAGGAGTTGAAGGAAGCACTACAGCACAAAGTCATGGGGCGACTTCAGAGTATGGAAACAGCAAATGATTACTTCTCTGTTTTAACTGCTTTTCTCCGAAACCTCTGAAGACACATACACACATACGTATGTACACCTACTCCCTCTCCCCACACCTCTCTGTATATAATGTATGCATAGTCTGCTTGAACATTAGGAAAGTGCAGCAGAGTCACAGTAATCCACACTGACCAGCACCAGCTCTTCAGCAGAAGAAAATGGACTGTCAGCACCGCAGAGCGAGAAATGCATTTCCAGGTGCTATATTTCTTGCCTTGCCTTCTCCAGCATGCCAGTTACACAGAGAAGCTACAGAAAGACTTCAGCACACGCATTGCCACTGCTGCTTGAACACACAGAATGCCTAAAGCTCATTGCTCACAGGAGATGTGCTACCTGGAATCTCTTCCCACTTAAATTGTGGTTAACTGCTGTGAAAATTGAAAATAATGCACAAATTAAGAGCAGTGACTAGAGCTACCAGCTAGAAGGAAGGCTTGCTCATCTCCTGTGAAGCCTGAAGTCCAGGGGCAGCCCGCGGGAGATGGCTGTTGTACCTAGTGATGCCTGCATCCCCTGTGTTCCTCAGGTGCACAGGGAAGGTGAGCGAGGGGGTACGCAGGGGTACGCAGGAACCCAGCCAGTTGGAGCCCATGAATGCCCGTAGGGTTTCCTAGACTTTCAGGGAGGCTGGGGGTTGAAAAGCAGAGGGTCCTTGCCTGGGGCTTTTGGATGCTACATGCATGGAAGTCTCCATTAGAGGGTGGTGTTGTCTGCAAATGTCCTGCACATGGCCTGTCACCCGACTACCAGCACCAGCTAGTTCTTGTCACACTGGCAGAGGGAATTTTGGCAGTGCGTCCCCACTGCCACTCAGAGAAGGAACAGTGTTGCTGTGCTGGAAAGACCCAGCAGCCTGGAAGCCTTCCAGAGACACTCATGAGTATAAGGTGTTGTGGCATAAGCAGCAGCGAGGAGGACAAATCCTGAGAACAGCTCGTCTGTGGTACCCTGTAACATGGCTTAGTGGGTCACAATCACGTACTGTAAAGCAGTGAAAGATGAAAAGCAAAAATCTGTGAGCTAGATATACCAAAACAACTACAAAAGAGAAATCTGAAGTTCACTGAAGTAAACATTTTCCTCCTTTCTCTACCCCCTCTGGAAAAAAGCTGACTGAGCAGACTAAGTCAAGTCAGGAGATCCAGCCACTGCTGCCAACTCTGCCCATGATGTGGCTTGGGAAACTCACGCTCCCTCTGTGAGCCTTCCTTTCTCCATTTGTTACAGAACAGAAAATATTGCCCCACTAATCTGATATAGGAAACGGCAAAAAATCAGTTGTTCACATCTGTAGGGCACTACATTAATTCAACGCACTATTGTAAAGCGAGCCACGCTGTCTTCTCACTGCTTAAACTGCAACAGACCCCTCTGTTTTTATTACTTCTATTTCCCCGTAGCCATGGTTCTGCAGTCATGTGTGTTTTTTCAAAGTGCCGGTGCCGGGACGAGGGGCAGCGAGCTGCTGGAGACAGCCTCCCCAGCCCCGGCACGAAGCTCAGGCTCCTGCCTGCCTCGCTCGGGGCGTAAGAGGCAGCACGGCGCAGAGCGGGGTGCTCTGGACCCCAGCCCTCTCTTCTGCTCTCCGCTGCAGGATTCGTGTCACCCTGTACAAATCACTCGACTGCTCCATGGGCAGATTCCCTGCCAAACAGTACCTGCTCACGTGCACAACTGTGAAATCTGTAGCTAAGTCCTCATGCACGCAAAACACGGGCCAGAATTTTGTGACGTGCTGTGGTATCACGGAACAAGGGCTGAAGCTTGCCTGTTCTAGAAGTCATTTGGGGACAGATGACATGGGCAAAAGCAAGATGGAAAACTGTGTTTCAGCAGGTTTTCCACTGTAATACAGGATGGTATCTCTTTTTTTCATTAAAAAAATCATTTCCACACCATAAGGGCCCCCAAGCTCCATGATATAACAGGTCCACAAGCTCAGTGCCAGCTCTGCTTCCTCTGCCAAACTTTCCACTGAATTCATCCTCTTGCCAAAGCAAATCGTTTAGACAGTTGTTTATTTTAAAAAGCCGTTTTAGCAAGGAGACGGAAAGCGGGACAGCAGCACACACACTCTCTGCTGTTCTTGCCAACGAAATGTTAAACAGTGGCAGAAGAGCTCTGGAAATGGCAGGAATGGGGCTCTGTGAGGAGGAGTAAAAACAGCCATGATAAAAATTTCCTGCTGTCTGTACTGCCTGCTATTGTGGGAGGAGCATATGCACCAATGAATTATACCATGTAGCCGTGCAATGTGAAGTGTCTTCCCCAGAGAAGTGATCTTGAGTTTGCTGTTATGAAGACTCCAACCCTGTACCGAGGCAGTTCAAATAAACGCCTGTTCTCTTTACGGGACAGATTGAGATCAGTCAATGGAAGGAGCCAGACCAATTTCAGGCAGGGCTGGGCCCAGATCTCCTTGCACCTAAATGGTCTTACAGGATTCTCCCAGGAGTTTGACAGTAATCCTGGCAGCCCCAAAATTGAGATACAGGTGCTGTAAACATTTCTAGTATGTTAGATGCAAACCTGTCCTGAAGCATCTGCGGTTCTAAGTTACTGTACAGCAGCTATGTAATTTATTTACCAAATGGCTGTTTCTGATAGCAGGCTGTGGTGCCTGCTCATGCCCGTTGTAACACACCTTGTCTTGACTTCCTCCATCTCCGTCCTGATCCGCTCCTTAGCCATTAGCCCCAGTGGCTGACAGAAAATACTGGTCCCCCAGCATGAATGACTGAAGTGCACAGCCTGTAAGTGGCACTTGGACTACAGCATGGCTGTGTGCTTCACAGCGTGCTGCTGTTAAAGACTATTTTCTTCAATGGATTTTGGCTTTCACTGCCTTGCTGTTCTGCTAAACAGTTACTAGATATGCTAAGCTTATTAAATGCACGTGCAGAGTCTGAACTCCTTTCGCCATGATGATAAACACTGTGTCTGAGAGGAGCTCTCATGAGAAAGACTGGGGATGGATATTTTCCTACTCGCCTCATCAGCCTTGCCCAGGCAGTGGCCTCCTTTGTGACTCTGTAGAGAGGTTTAAGTTTGACACTCATCATAGGAATGGCAATACCTGACTAAGCAGACTTTGTACTTCTGGGAAGATCCAAAACATTTTAAAAACAGGTTTGTTATAAACCAAACACATAGTAGAACAGTTATGAAGCAGTCTAGTGATCTAAATTCATACCTGTCAGCATTTAAGTATGTTGTAAACCTTCATATAGGGCAAATGTCACCTTTTTCAAGTAGGAAAATAAAATTCATATCATGGGAGGTCACTATTCCTCTGCCTGGACGTTTTCATTGCTTCCCCACAGCAAACACAGGGAAAAATTTTCACAAACAACATTCAATCCCATTTTGTTCTTTCTGATGTAAAAAAAAACAATTTTTCATCTGTTCAAATATGTAAAACTGGTGAAGGATTCCAGGGCAGAATTTAACTTTCTCCTGCCCCCACCTTCCAGTTTATGGGAAATGGCAGAAAACATTATCCCTTGATCTAATCTATATATTCCCTTATAAAGTGGTACTGAAAGTGAGAAAAACACAGAAAGAACAAGAACCAGCTGTGCTAGGGAGCCTGTTTAAAGAACCGGTCAAAGTTTTCAATCAGTTCTTAACCAAGCCATCTGTTTACTGTATGAAGATAAGTACAGTTACAAGGCTTCCTCTGAAAACATGGATGCCTGCATCTGACAGCCTGGCCCTTTAAATTTAAAAGCTCACTTCCTCCCCACGGCCACTAACTGTAAATGGTCCTGTTTAAGCAAAAAGGCAAAAAAAAGTACTGCATGTGATTGTGAAAAATATCCTCTACAGAGAAGGTCAGCACCACACTTTGATAATGGATTGTTTCCACAGCTTAAAGGAATACAGAAATTACTTTTGCTAATACTGAAGACATTTAAAAAAATAAAAAACTTCCCAGGTTTGCAAAGATAATTTGTATTGTTTTAAATCCCAGCTGAGGAAACATGGCTCTGATTAACTCATGCCAATCAATTAGCCACATCTATATTTAGAAGGATATCCAGCTCCAGCTGTTAAAACTAGGGCCTCATTATTATTAATAAATCTGTGAACCAGACCAATTCTTCCTGGGCTCATTAGGATATTTTTAAAAGTCCTCCCTCTCCCACTACCTTTTTTTCAATTTGCTTTGCTTTGAGAAATGAAAAAAAGAACAGGATAATCAGATGTCTTAGTTCCTCTCTTCCTTTAATTGGCTAGTTATAGTAGGTTTCCATGGTAAGAAAAAAACCTTGTGACTCAACAAACACAGAGAGCCCATTGAGGTTGGAAGATGTTATGGGCTTTGCAAAGCACATCTGGTTTGTTGAAAATTTCCAGCTTTCTTTTTCCTTTTCATTTTCTTTTTCTTTTTTTTTTTTGAAGAAAAAAGAGGAAAAAGAGGAAGAAGAGAAGGGAAAAATAATATGAGGCAAACATGAAATAGCTCAGCATTGGTAAGGACAGACAGTTCCCTTTTAGGAGTCCAAAAGCAGCTTTTTGCCAGTGGAAGAACCAAAGCCACCGGTTGAGCAGAAGTTGGAATGGGATGTGTTCAAACATAGTAAGGCTGTGTGAGGGGAAGGTAGAAAAACGTTTCCTAAGCATGTTATAGTCATTAAAATAAAACATCTCTTTATGTCAAGTGCTTTATGTTGGCTAAAAAAGCCTAAAAAAGCGTGCAACAACTTCCAGACATATTGGTCCGTCTGTAGGGAGATTCTCTGGTTATTCTTAAAGCAAAAGAATGGCATTTTTCCAGCAAATGTCCCATCAAGAAAAGCTGCAGTGCTGTGCTGGAAATGTACCACTTGGTGGTTTTTAACCCCTGACTGACCTTGCAAAGAATCTGTTTTGGGCTTCTGTCCTAGCGTGCCAAAAGAAAGAACCATCACCATCTACAACACCAAACCAAAAGTGAGCAGTCTAAGCCAAGGACAGAGTGAGTTCACTTCGACAAGTGTGCGCCTAAGTATAACAAATTTGAAAAATTTACCCAGTCATAGAACAGGAGTCCCCAAATCACACAAAATTTAGCTTTTCTCAGCAAATTTAGCAGAGGCATAAAATGTAAAATATTTTTTTTGTGATTATAAAGGCAGTACGGTGTTTAACATTATTCTGTTGGAAGCTGTTTGAATCTTCTCAAGCAACATGACAACAATGAAAAAATTAGGCAAATTATTCTGCACAAAATATCCTTAGAACACTGCGAAGTGTGAGACTGCCCAGATTTGCCTTCAGAGTGCTGTAATAGCTGCTGCCCCACTGGCATTTGCCAGAGCAGCTAGCTCTAGCCGGCAGCCAGTAGCTCAAGGTGTGTGCGGCTTGCAAGTCAGTATTACCAACATTACCTCCAGCGCAAGGAAATGCTTTTGAATCACGTAACGACATTACTGCAGAGCGACTGGATGAGTGAGGAGTCTTACTGTTCAGACTGGATTTTGCCTGTCCTTCAAAATCTAAGGCCTACCAATCCAACAGCACAGGTTTCACTAATAACACAACAGGTCCCTTAAGGCTACAAGGACTGACACCAGCGGTGGAAACAATTCAATCCAAAAGAAATAATGCATTTGCTTCATAAAGCCAAGCACTTTTAACATGCCAGCCAACAAGGGCAGATTTGCCATTACATATCGTTTACTTTAGAACTTGCTCTTCTGTAAACATTTTCATATGCTTATGATCTTTTCATATAAATTCTTCCTCCTTCAGCTGAGAGACAGAGGGATTAGTGCCAGACTCCAATCATCAGCAAAGAACAAGCACCTCCTTAGTTCTACAAATCTAGTAATGGAGATGCAGACAGTGAAAGGATAAAACAATCACAGCAGCACCCGACGAGTAACATGCACATGGTGCTGGCTGCGTAAGAAGGATCCAAGAACGTCAGACAAACCATGCATGTTTGGGATTTCTATCCTGGCAATGAAATACAAGAAGTAACAGAGAAGCATAAGTGGAAAAGATCAGGTATTCAGGGTTACCAAAGTACCCAGAGGTGCATTTTTAAAGGAAAGAAATGAAGCACAAATGTCCTTCGCTAAGTGAGTGGAGTGGGATGAAGTCAGAAGCAGAAGGTAAAAACTATGAGGTCACTATCGCTAATCACCAAAGGACCTCTTTTTGAGAGATTGCTGAAAAGACAGTCCCTTCAACACCACGGCACACTGTGGTACCCTAGTACAGACATTGCCATCACAATTCTATGCCACACATGGATAATGTTAAGGAAGATTAGCAAGAAGTGAGCAAGAGTTTTGAACCTTCTTTTAATCCTAAAAAATATCCTAAATGGCTACAGACCAGATTAGAAAAAACAAGAAACTTCAGTCTAAACCACTTCCAGTGTCTATTATAGTTTTCACGACAGTCCCAGCATCTGAAATAGCTGCTTCCACTTTGATTCAGACTTTTGACTGAGCCAATGAAACCCTGAACATTTCAAAAGGTATTCTTACCTTGTCTCTAGCCTCGTTGAGAAGGTCTTCTAACTCTGAGAAGCTGAAACTGGCCACAGTGATGAAATCGCTCATGACGGGAACGAACCTGTCCCCCGATTCCCGCATGCGTCTCTTCTGATAATCCAGTTCCTGAAAGACAAGAAGAGATATAAGCAGGCAAGCATGCAAGATTCTTCACCGACAAGGAAGGGAGCAGGGAAGCCCATCTATTTCACTCCGTGCAGAGCATGCTCTGCTCCCACTCCTCATGCATTCATCCGGAGCTGTAACTCAGAAACCCCTTTCTCACTAAGTCAAAGGTTTTGCCATTTAAGCATGAGAGGGAAGGTTAAGGTGGGATAAAGGAAGGTCTTAGTTACGGTTCCCTTTGTCCTCAAACAACAAACACTCCCAAGAAAGCTATCAACATGTTGAATTTCTAAAGCAACTTTATAATTTAACTATCAAGCACATGAAATGCTGCAATTTTTTCTTCTGATGCAAACTGACAAATAATAGAGAACTTGAATTGTGCAACAAGTGAATTTGAATTTTTAATAGTGAGTTTCCCTCCATCTTCTCTTCCCATGGTTACTGAAAACATTGTATACTTGGGCAACTGCGTACATGTGTGAATGATCTATACAGTTCCTAGCTCTGGATCTCCCCTTTAGCTCTATCAAAAGCACTAGCTGGGCAGCAAAAAGGCATCAGAATTGGTTCTCTCACTGAAGAACAAGCAGACAGATGTCAGGTGCAACATTTGCTAGCACCCAGCTAACCAGTAAGCCTCAGCTTAGATGTCATAAGAGTCACAAAGTTATAAACTGGGGCTATTATGATAAGAAGATCTGTGAGGGAAAAAAAAAAGACATAAAACCATAGGAAATTAAGCTCTATTTGTCTGCTACCTACAGAAAGAAAAAAATATATTGTGAGATTAATTCTTTCTGGCTCAAGTGTTTCAGTTTTAAGCCAAGATTACCCATGCTATCTCCTCCCTTACTCTCTTCACCATGATTGTGGCATGACAAGAGCTGCAGAGCTCAGAGTTCTAGCAAGACTGGCAGTCTCCCATGCCTGTGCTTGGCTTATGTGCTGTTGACAGTCTCATGGGGACAAACAAGTCGTAATCTGGGCCTCATCTTTATTCTCAGCTGAATAATCAGTGGGAATGATAAAGTCTTACTTTCTCTGTAGGAAAAGCAGCATGAAACAGCAGGTCAAGTTGCAATCTGACCCTCTGTTCCCTTTGGAAAAAAAAAAAGAATGTGCTGGCTACTACTCCAGCTACATGCATGTTCGGTGCTCTGTGTTACTGGTCATCAAAACACTGGTTCACAGAGCCAAATGGGTAGGTTTATAAGCATCTATGCTGAGAAACTCCTTGGGATTTGCTCTACAGTACTGCTGAATGCAAAGAATTACTTTGGCCATCAACAATCTAAAATCAGATGTGATATATCTTCTGGTCTGACATGAGTTGGAAGGAGAATGTAACCACTATAAGGAAAGACCACAAGGCAGAAAAGGAGCAGGAAAAACAATGAGCAGATGGCCAGAGAAAAGTCCACATTAAAGAAGTGCTACTTCCCCTGCTTTATATTACATCCTCTTCTCCACTGGTTTTCCTAACACATCACAAGGGACGGTCCTGGGAGCACTACTCATTTACATCACTTTGCAATGAATTGTCTCTACGTTACAATCACTTTGAATTGGACCTTGAAAGTACAGGAAATGTCACTTCTAAGAATTATGCATATTTTTATTACACATATTTTTTCCAGCTTTCACTCTTTCTCATTCTAATTTTTAAGCTAATTTTAGCTGAAAGTTGCTCTACTCGCTCCTTCCCCACCCCAGCCCCAAGCAGGTGAATATAATAGTTCTGTCATCTTACTCACTGTTGAAAGCTATGGCATCTGGGACTGTTACTGGAGAGCAATGTTTTTCAAGGTAAAATTAAGATTAGGTGGTCTGCCCTAAGTTTGAAATTCAGTCCTTCCCTGCAGAATAATTCTTCCAAAACAAAAAAGCCACACAAGTAACCAAGACGACTATGTAATCAGCCCAAGATGACACCAGAGAATAAAAAACTCCTCTGTGTCTTCCAGAAATGGTCTATACTACACATAACATCACAACAGCAGAAGCTAGCATTGCCCCAGTGGGCTGGGCTTCTGGTTCTCTAGAGAGATGAAATGATTCAGCCATGGCAGTGGTTTCTTAAGCGGTGGTTATGATCTCCTTGCTGTGTGAGAGAAGGGCTCTGCTGACAGAATTCACGTCCTGATTTGGAGAAGACCAAGAACTACTTAGCTGTCCTGCTGGGAGCATCCCACACAAAGGCAACAGCTGCATGCATGTCTTGAAAACGAATATGTCTTGTGCTTACAAAGACGCTGCAAGTCCAGGAAGGCAAAGGGTTAGTAGTACCTTTAAGAACATCTGACTGTGAAACTATTTTTAGCTTTCTATTCTTAAGGGGCCTTGAAGAAACTTCTCAGTCACTGGAGCCAAGGCTGTGGTGAGAACACACTGGAATGGAATCAAGAATCACACCTTCCCCTCCTCCCCTTCCACCTGACAGTGGTCTTCTATTGTTGCTATAGTGCTGCATTTGACACGCCAGAAAACCACAAACTGAGCAAGCAGACTGGGAGGTGCTGGCAGCCCCAGATGAAAAAATACCATGGAAGGGAACAAGACTGAGGAGGGAAGATGGTGATGGAATGGGAAGAAGAGGTTTCCCATGGAACCCATGTATGGGAAAGAGAAGAAAAATTGGCTGTAAAGGCAAAACGACAAATAACCCAATCACAGAAAGAAAAACAGAAGCAGGTACTCACATTTCAATGGGAGGAATTGGCTGTCCCAGCCAAAACTTGGCCTCTCTTCACATCATGAACTCTATGTCAGCCTTCCCTTTACAGGTGCCTTTAATTCCCAAAAGACTGCACTCCATGTAGGCAGCAGTATGTGTTCTCATTGCTGCGTTCTCCCTTACTCCAACAATCCAGAAATAAGGTTTTAAAACTTTGTGTTTTCATGGGAGGATCATTGGCTAATTACATGCTGAACTGCTGGAGATAGTCAGACAGCCTGGCAGCCGCTGACAGAACAAAAAACCCTTCCTCTACTCCCACAGCCAAATAAAACTCAGGCCAGGTGAAAGGCAAATGAAGTCATCACTGTCTGTCTCATAGTGGATGAGCAAGACTGGAGGGTCCTTGTAGATGGGTAATACTTGCACAAAAAACATCCAATGCAATTCCCAGTAACTGGTCCTCTGCCAGCAGTCCCAGTGCAGAACGCTCCCCATCTGGAATGCTCCATTAGTGTTAAACTAATTTGAGTTTAAAAAGACAGGTGAAAGATCCTGAAGACAGAGGGACACTGAAAAATGTGGCTAATAAAACCCTGTTTCAAAGGGCAAAGAAAACCTAAATATGGCAGGGACCTTCTCAGGTTGTGAAGATCTCTGCCTTGTCTCTCAGTAACACCCTTGCCTTACTTTATCCAACAGGCAAGAGATGCCAGCAACTATCTGAATGTAGGATTGTGTTCCTGTACTTGCAGAAAGAGACAATGACGTGCTTAGGGTCAGAATATGTTTATTTGTGCAGATGATGGGGGACGTTAAGACACGGAGAGAGGAGGGTGACTTCAGCCTTTAATCTTTACATTTTCAGCTGCTGTGCAAACACTGACTTGCCGTTCCTCACGTAAGCCCTTGTGAGAGGTAGGTATTTGTAGCTGCTGTTTCACAGAGAGGAGGCAAATGCAGGGGGTTGTTCAAAGCCACACACATACATCAATGGCATAAGCGAGAGGCAAACATGAGAGTTCTTACCTCCTGCCACCGAACAGTGTCCTGCTCAGTGCTTTCCTGCCTCAGGAAGGCTGGAGTCTTTCCCCAGGAACAAACCCAATGCATTAACTAAAGGAGGCTTCCAGTAGGGGAACCACAGCTGACACACGAACTTGTCACCCCAGGGAGCATTTAGGCCCATCCCTCATCTTTAACTCCAATAATTCAGTACACACAACTGCATCAATGCACCATTTGTACTGTTCTCTGTTGAGATGGATTGCTCTGCACTACCTAAGTATAAATTGAACACAGGCAACCTAAGTCCATCTTAAGAACCTTTCATTAATAGCAGGAAAAAACCACCGTTTTTGCTTTGCTTGTCAGCTCAGCTCCCTCGTCTTTTACATAGTCTATCTTTTCCTTTGTCTTTCCAAGGAGTACCTAGGATAGGTTAGGGTTACATATAACAGTCCACTATCTGTTTACGACTACTCCAAGAGCTATGTGAAACACTTGCTCAGTAGCCAGCCATCCCTCAGTAAGAAACAGCAAGAATTTTATTTCTTCTTTCAGTCCATGCCATTTGCCAAACTGTCCTTTTACTTTCCAGGCTGAGATCAAACAAGCTTTCATTAGGCTTAAGTATGCTCAAATCATCAGCAGGAGCTCCACATGAGAAGCTTTTATTTGTTTTTTCTTGGTTAATGCATTCTGGAACGGAATGGAAAGCAACAGAAGAAGAAAGCCCACTTTCTCTTATCGCAGAATATATAGTGCCCCGATTCTGAGTGACATATTTGAAGTATGGTGCTTTGGAAACCTTCAGATACTTACAGCTTCAACAGCTTTCAATCCGGTCTTTATGTTGTTGACTTCCTTCTCCAGCTCTACCAGGCTGCACAGGAGACAGACACAGAGCAGATAAAACAAAAAGAGCAGTGTTACACAGGAATACAGGAACTATGCAGCAGGACTGACCATTGGCCCATCAAGTCTGGTATCCGGCCTCTGGCACCAGCCACGCCAGATGATTAGAAATGAGTGGAAGGGGGTCTATTAATGGTCTGTGCTGCTTTTTGTGTGAGATGTAAGATGAGGCAGACCCTGCTTGCCTGTGGTCACACTGAAGACTGGGATTTTCCTGGGAAGAAGCGAGGGGTTGCCCTCTGAACATCTGCCCTGTGAGCTAAGCCTGACCCTCCAGCAAGAAGTGTATGCCACATGGCGAACTTGCAATAATCAGCTGGCACACAAGCAAGGACCCCAGCTTTAGCACACACATTACTGAAGTCTCAGATTATCTCTATGCATGATTCTTGAACCACTTAACTACTAAATCCCATTAGCAGTACATTTACATGTGATTTTTGTCTTCCTCACAGTCCAAACATTGTTTTTCCATCTGCATTTCTACCATATGGTAGTCTTTGCAAGCTTACATTGTAATTGAGCATGTAACTTTACTGTTAATGTTAATACATGCTTCCCCAGACACAAGCGTTGCACTGAATTTCTGCTCATCATATACAAACAAGAGCGTTTTTCTATGACTTCTATGAAAAAAATGACTTTTCATTTCCAGGTAACCATTTAGTAGCTATTTGTAAGTCAGCAGGCATCTCCCCCGAGTATTTGGTGGTAGTGGTTTACATCTCAAAAACACCACTAAAGCCTTAATAAATGTCTTTAAGTGCAAACCTACATCTATTTCTTACTTGTCTTTCCTTAGCTTGAGTAGTTTCCTATACAAAGAATCATGGCTGGGCAAATAATATGCAAAGGTATTTTTGAGCAGTGCTTTGGAAAGAAAAAATGATAGCATTTTTGGGGATGGCTTATGTATTCATTTTCCAGAAACACCTACAGAAATGGAAAAAAACCAGCATTGAAATTTGTGCAGAAAGTATGATGCTTTCCACATTTCTGTGCACAACTGATTTGTGCAAAACTTTGAATGATCTTCCTGAAAAGGGCTTAATATAGCCTCTGTGTCTAATTGACTCTGCCTTAGAAACAAACCTTGAATTATCAAAAAAAAACCAGCATGTGACTTCGATGAACAACCATAGAATATGGTAAGTGAATTAAAAACAACCACCAGTCAGTCTAGTTACAATGTCTGATTCAGAAATAGCATAGATATAGGCATATCCAAGTAAAGCTGACAATTTTGTAATTCATGAATGTTTTTGGACCAAAATTCTCTGTTAATGTACATCTGAATAACATCAAGGATGTGAGCAAAGGCATTTCAGCTGTAAGGCTGGCCATGAGTTTAGAAGACAGCAATAAAAAGCCTGATGATCATTAACTTAACAGAAATCACTAGGAACTCCAGCTCTGGGAACAAGCAATAACACTGGACTTACTTGACTTTTGCTGCTTCTGGAAGATGCTGCAACTCAGACTGAATATCTAGGATATCTGGATAATTCTTTTCAAAAATCATAATTAAGTAGTGCAACAGTGTAATGTTCCATAAAAAAAAAAAAAAAAAAAAAGGGAATGAGAAGGAAGATGGTGGTGAGAAGGAAAAGGATGGTGGGAGGATTGTGACAAATCAGTGAAAAATATTTGGGTAGGAAATGTGCTTGAATGAACACAACAAACAATATATCAGCAGTTAGCAGCTCTGTTTTTGAAAGAAAAGTATCACAGACAGAAATGAATTAGCCCTTTATGAGCCATCCTTCTTACAACCTCAAGCAATATACTGTGCCTTCATTTATTCTGGAAGCACCAGCCTGCTCCCATCCATCTGTGTAGACGGTGTAACAGAAAAGAAAACTGTGTAGCACAGTATGGTATTTGTCCCCAGATACTTCGGAGAATAAACAACTAAAAATACTAAAGTGACATTAGCTTGTAAGGGAGAAGTGAGTTGTTCTCAGAGGCAACATGGAAAAAACCTAAGAGTTAACTAAGAAGAGGAAAAGGTTCTTGAATATTGAAGAAGCTGCAAAGAAACCTCCTACAGTAAAGAAACTTATGAGTCGTGGTCAGGCACACTACTACTAATGCAATAGCAGCTCCAGTAGGAGTGGATAGAAATGAGATGTATGAGAGATGCAGGAGAAGGTTTAAGGAAATTTGTAAAGTAAATGACGAATTTTGCATCAGTGGATTTTGCATGTAGAGAGAACAGCCAGCCATAACAGCGACTTGAGGTGGGTGTTCTGACAGGCAAGAGCAGATGGCCACTGCTTCACACAGACTAGAGCCTGGGAGCTGGGAACCAGTGAGAATCTGCACAGGATGTTTAATATACAGAAAATCAAGCCAAGCTACATTAAGGCAAAAAAAATGCTACACAATTGTTCGCCTTGGAATACGGAAAGGGCATTGTATTAGCCAAAACAGAACTCTGTTAGTTCAAACTGTATTAGGTAGGGACGAATTTCCTATGGCTTCTTACTGCCATTATTCATTCTGTCACAGCCTGAGGTCATTTCTGCACAGCTATGGTCTCAGCAGGTCTCACAAGTCAAGGAAGGTGAGAGTTAGTAAGCACCAGTATAGGAGATTTCCAGGGAAAAGCCTTAGTGCTGCAGCAGCCCAAAAGGGGTATTCTATCTCCAGTCACAGCTGGATTAACTTCCAGAACACATATGGGCATGTGGGGCAAAACATGGGCCAGCACTATAAAGACCTGCAGCCCATGTCCACAGATAATAAGCTTCACCTTCCCAAAACCAGCTATTTTCATTAACTGCTCTAGATACAACTAGGCTCAGTCTCCCTGAGCTATGCTTTGTCGTTCTCCTACTAGTGTAGGTAGAGAGCCAGTTTATGACAGTCCTGCATCAGAAACATATGCCATATTTCACAGGAGACATAAAACTGTGGTCAGAGTTTTTTGTGTTCTCTTTTTTGCAAAACCTTGGCCATAAAATTTTGGTACAAAGGGCAAATTCCATAGAAATCCTCCCCCCCCCCCCCCCAACTTATTTCAGTTATTTGTGAAATACTACATTTTGTCATCTTTGCATAGTGTTGCAGAAACACAATCCAACAACAGATGTGCATTATCCAAAGAAACAGCAGAATTTGAGTGCTGTGTTAATAGCTGGTCTTAACTGCTGCAGGATCCTTCAGAGTGAATAGCACTACTTAAATGCCAAAAAAGACATTATTTCAAATAATATCAATAACAAACAAAATCCACTTTCATTACTATAAGAGATGCAGCAGAACAGCAACTACTTTATGGCCTTCTAGCCTACCTGTCTATGCTGGATTTGGTGTCTGCAATTTTGTTCAGGCTGGAGACTTTGAAACCATAAGCACTTCCCCTTTGGCCCTTGTTCATATAATTCCCAAAGGCCAGAACCACCTCCAGGAGCTGCCTCAAACGCTTGCTTCGGATGAGTTCTTTGGATGCCAGAAGAATGGCTTGAAGAGAGGGAAAAAAAAAAAAAAAGAACAGATTATTGCACAGTGGCTGTTTTTAACATGCTTGGGCCCATAATTTGAAGTATCCTAAAATGCCCACCTGCCTGTTGCCCAGCAAATGCTGCAACACAGTCTGTGCGTGTACTGTCCCTCCCACGCCCACATGCCCAGAGCCAGGACAACTGGAAGGAAGATGCACTACATCTTGCCATTAGGGTGCTCCTCTGAACCCAGGAGCAAGGCTGTTCTCCTGGACCTCACACTCTAAACCCGTACCCAGCGAGAACAGGGGGAAGGCTTGAGCTCAGCTGAAAAACCAGAGCAGAATACACTCACCTCTTCTCTACGATAACAATGGATGTGGCACAGAAGCCATACCCCCCCACCCCCTTGTAAGTTACACATTCCCAGAATACCACCACCCTGAGGCACCTGTTCTAACTGCCCACAGAGAGGGAAGGTGCAAGGACTTGAGAGTGGAGAAGGGAAGGCTGACCTGCATGGAAAGGCTATGAAAGCTTTCGGCAGCTCAGCACAGCCTGGTAGCACGCTGTCACATCTGTCAGGTCATATTTACAGTGTAGCAATCATGAAACTGACTTTATGAAGTCAATGTGTGCAAGAATAGTGTCAGACAGAATTCGCTTCTTAGGACACGCCTTGGATTCGCTGGCTCAACAACCATAGCACACACGTAACAGCACCTCCTTCGAAGACAAGCCTCTCTTGACCTTCCCTGCCCCTCTACCCAACCCTTTGCAAAGGCTTTAACCATACCTTCCACTTTTGGTTTGGCTTCTGCCAGTCTCTCTGGAAATTTCTTCTTAAAGAATAGTGCTTGCAGCCGCTGCTGATAGTGGTCAATCCTGCATGAAGGGTAGAGGAAAGCCAACACTGAACTGGAAATCTATTTTGAAGCCCAGGGCCAGTATGCTGCCTACATAATCTAAGGGTTGGCTGTTGAGTCCCACAAGGCCTATGTATGCAATTACAGACGTAGTTCAAACATTTAACACTATGTAATCAACTTTGTTATGAAAATGGAGGACCTCGAGGCATGTTTTGATCGCAACTGAAAAGAAGCTGGAAGAATTCCCGTTACTCTCAACATATGAGAGTCACGGGAGATGCCAGCTGCATCTCAATTAGCAGAACAAGATGTTGATCCTGATCAAGGGTGTAGCAAAGTTGCAACAGGAAAGAAAGTCAGAGGATGAGGAGATGGGATAGCTGAATGGAAAAAAGGATCTATATGAAATCCTGACCCCTGGCTACACTACATCTCATAGTTGGATCTGAATTCCTTTTTGTGTGAACAAGTTCAGGCAAAGGAGGCAGATTTCTGCTTGTCATCAGGAGACTGGTGTCCAAATGACGGCACGGAGAGTGTTTATCGTCAATAAAAAGTTTGTGTAATGAACGGAAACATTTGTAACATTTGTGGGCTTCTGGCAAATGCAGGGTATAATGCTGGCCCACAATGTCTTGCACATTCCCCCTCAGTGCCAGATGATCCATTTTCAATAACAATTACAGCTCCTTCCAAGAAGCTCTCCGTGCACTTTCCCATAATGTATCAAACAGACCTGCTCATTTCAAAGAGGAAACGATCCGCCCGGGCCATGCGCTCAATTTCGTGTTTATGCTCCTCCAACAGGTCGGTATCGCTCTTTTCAGGAACGAACTTCAGCAGCTACAGAGACAGACACAAACCAAACACTGAGATGAGAGATCCAGGGAAAAGGAGAGAGGGACAGAGGGGCACAAACAAACCCCGATGGAGAGAGAGAGGGCCCTCGGATTTCTCTGCTACCATGGAGAAGCATTACGTTGACTCAGCCATGTGACCGTAACTTCAAAAAAGTGCAGCTGTGGCTACAAAACTGACCTTTTTTAAACCTTTGCTTGCTGTTCTGTCTTTATCCCTCACTGACCCCATTAGATTAATTTTTAATTCTACAGGGAATTTCCCATTACTAAATCCTAAAGGCCAAGAGCTACTGCAACTTACCCCAGGGGAAGTACAGAGAGAACTCTGATTCCCACAGCATTACTTAGAGTTTAGACTGGTGTAAACAAGAGCAGGATGTGTCCCACTCAGTGTGAAGTACCCAGCATGCCTATCCTAGAGTACACACAAAGCCTCATCTATCTCTCTCTTGGGTCTGCCCTACTCTGCTGAAACAATAAACAATAACCAAGTGACTGGATATGTGTCTGACACTGGCTGCTATTCATATGCCGACCTTAAAAGCTCATACTTTGACAGATTTTTGACATAACTGGTGGTAGTTGTGCTCTAGTCTGATTATAAATATTGCCATGCACACAGCCTCAGCGCACACCCACAAAAACTGCTCACAAGTCATGTAAAGCACTTTGCTCTTTACCACTTTTTCGTATTTTATCCCAGTCCCCAAAAACGTGATATTCAAAGGTTTGGAGCATCAGAAGCTTGCAGTGAATTCTAGAGCAGCTGTGAGCATTCAGATAACATGCAAGTAGGCTATGCATTTCCAAAATGGAAAAACTTTTTGTACACGATTAAATACTATGACTGCACGCAAAGAAGGAATCACATTTGTCAGGCGGTTCAGGATTGTAACATTTTGCGTACTGCTAAGGAACTTTACCATACGCATCCTTGGTCAAAGCATCATCTTTCACCCTCTATAAATGGGGGAAACTGGGAAGTGGCAGTTTAATTGTTGTGTTTTTTCCCCTTACAAGCTATGCAGTGAACAAACTGCAGGGAGTAGAGGTCCCTGCTCCCTTTTTAATCGTTCTAGTTAGAATGTGAGATTTCTTCTAGTCTCAGCTCTAACCGTTGACCTACATGGCCTGGTTCATGGCATTTCCCAATGGAAAAGCTGCAGGTAGAGAAGGGAGATAAAGAAAAAGAAAAGAAAAAATAAAAGAAGAAGAACAACAAAAAAAATAATCAGCAGTATAAAAAGGAGCTGGGGAAAATGACGGGAAGTCACAGGTGAGAAGAGAGGATGTGACAGGAGACCTCATACCGACTGTAATCATACATGTTTTGCATCAAGAAGAGAAAACTGTTATGAAATCAACCTGATACAAATAGAGTTACACGAGGGAGGTGTATCTGACAACACTGTGAAAAATACTCCCATCTGCAGCTCCACTGACATGATATGGCCAAATTCAGATCTGCAGACATGCCAGCAGAGGCAGTACATATATCCAGTGAAGGACTTAAGAGTAAGATATATCTGACTGTAATCTTTCTCACCTGCTCAAGCATGTCTTTCGCTAGGTCTTCTTGTTCATCCATCTTCAAGATTGCTTGTCTGATTTCTTCATTAGACAGCTTCAGCCTTTCAACAGTATCAACATTGTACCATTAGTGCAAAGCTTAAGCGACTCTAACAAACCAGAAAGTAGGAAGCCTGAAAAGCTGCACTAAAAGGCACAGAAGAACCATGGGAAGCTCTGCTCTGAAGCTGCTAGAGTATTCAGTAAGATGAATGAATCGGTTCCAAAGGCAGTGATTTTATAGATCATATATTTTTATCCTCTACAGCTTATTAAACGTACACTAAAAATTAGATTATGATTAAGAACAATCAGGTCCTCATAGATGAAAAGTGCTTCCAACTTCTCCCATAACAGATACCTCCCTCATCAAGTTATTTTCCTGTAGTAAAACTCCTCAAATCCATGTGATTTGTAAGTGACTGTGAGCCCAGGTAACATCCCAGCTTGTGAATATTAAAGCATCTCCTAGAGTAACAAGTAATGGGACTGATCTTTCTCTTACAGATCGGAGAACAGGGTTTCCTGCAAGAAGACTGGTTGGACTAGGTACATTCACTCTGTCAGCAGTCACAGCTGAAGAAGGAATTGACAGCATCTATGTATCCATTTTTCATATTCAATATGAAACAAGCTCTGAAAACAAGAGCTTCTTAATATTATCTAAGGTAATTACACTCTCCTTCCCACCTACTCCTGTCCATCTGTGTGCAATGAGTAGGGGTCATCAGTTACAACAAAACACAGAATCAATTAAAAAAACTCTCAAGGTCTCCACTTGAAACCCAGGGCAGACCAGGAGTTGTAAAAATTTGTGATTATTGAAAAGTTGCTTGATAGATTATATGAAATGAATTTGGTGTTTCTCAGTGCAGTTATCAACAAAGAAATGTGGAAGTGACAAATTCTACCCCACCATCCCTAACCCATGACACCCTCATCAGTCATTTCAGGAGAGTAGGCAAGGACAAAATGAACCATAAAGGAAAGGCTAGCCACAAGAAAAATCTCAATTTTGGAATTGAAACAGGAAAGTGTGAAAAGAAGTATTTGAGGAGTGAAGTCTGCAGTCTCCATGGGCCTTCTACAACCAATATAACTAATTAACAGCAGAAAGAGAAAATGCAAATATAAATGAGAGACAGGATGATGCATGAGACAGAATGTTTTTGTCTTTGGTGCTAAGAAATTCCATGTTGAAATTTCACATTGCTATTGCCATTTGGATAGAATCATATTTTTGGAAGTAGGCAAAAGCAAGAGAAAGAGCTTTATTTTTACAGACAGGAAATATTACTAAATCTCAGAAACTTAAAACATTTTAATATTGCCCAGTATAACCAACAGCTGGAAACTAAAATATGAATCAGCAGACATTCAAAAGCTTTTAAATATTACACCTCCGAGCTGGTCATTGTGTCTGCTTTTGACAAGGAGGGCAAACTGATACCAGCTAAGTAAGATAAAGGTACTGAATTTCCAGACAAGCTACATAACTGTGTCACACTTTGATGAGATACAAGGACTAGAAGCTTTACAATGAAAAGGCTGGAACCTTTTTACTTTAGGTGACCGGTTTGACTCAGGATCAAACCAACAAACCTCAGTACACGGGGTTCTGCATAAAGCTCTACAGTCTCAAACAGAAAACTGAAGGATTTCTTCTGGCTTTATTAATGACGAATTGTAAAGTCCATGGTTGTGTGACCCTGAACTGATCAAACACTGTGTCCACATGAGGGCTGAGTAGCACGTTTGGTGGGTGTGGGCCTGGCTCCTAGCAGACACATATAAAGACAATTTGGTGCCTGCAGCCTTTGAAGTGCTACATTTGTTGATTATTTTCCTTTAGAGAGCACCTTTAGATTTTCCAGAATCTGGAGTCTGAAGATTAGCTGTGCCTTGTAACACAGGCATAAAACCTGTCAGAAGGGACGCAATAAGCAAACCCATGAACACCAGGGTGAGGGATTTTTTGTTACTACTTTCACCGAGGATCAAAAGAATGAGGGCAAGTTTCATGTTTTTTCCATGCAAATAGCTCGAGCAATTACTACAGTGACCACCCCGTTACACAGTGCAAGTGCTTCTGTGTGTGTTTCGAGATGCAGTAAACGGGACCTAATAGACAGTTTTGAGTTACATCAACACAACAGAAGGTGTAGCGCCTGTTGTTGCTGATCCTGCTGTTCCATGAGGGAGCCCAAGGATTTCAGACCCTAAGCTCCTCTGTTTGCTGCCATTCATCAGCACTAAATACACTTCAAACATCTTCTGTTCAAAAATAATTGAAAGCCCCAAGGACACACAGTTACACAAACACTTTGAATTCTTGGATGATTCTGTACCCTGCCATCAGCAGAAAAACATCTGGCTGGAATGGTTTAGCCCACAGTAGAGAAGCAGAAAGCTTGCCAGCCCCCTGCCAAGAAGCAGTTTAACTTAGTCACTCACAGGCATCTAACGCGGTCACAGTGCCTGCAGGTGTGCATCCTAGATTACTACCAATCAAATTACAAGTACAGAAGGATTTATGGCAAAACAATCTTACTCTTCCAAAGAGGGCTTGTTCCTCTCCCAGCGCAGGACGCGTTTCAAGAGCTGTAGGCATCAACAGCACAAAACAGGAATCTTCCCACTTACAAACTGGCTGAATAACCGGCCAAAGAATTGTTAATCAAGTGATTCTTGTATTTTCAAAACTCATGCCCAGCCATGTAGTAGATCTTAAAGATGGCCAGCAGTAATGTGAAACAGATGTGCTGCTTTTAAACAGAAACAGGTGAACTGATTAAAGAGCAACCTAAAGCAGATGCGTAAAATCTTTCCATTCAGTTCTGAATAGAGGCATCCCTCAGAGCCTAAAACTCATACGGGACAGACAGCAAATTAAAGTGGAATTATGGCCCAAAAATTTACACTACAGAAATTACATTTCAGTATCTATTGGAAAGTCTGCAATGACTTTCTTACAAGCTGTGCAGATGCAGACACTCTTCCTCCAGCTGCTGGAGACAACTCCATTTGGAACGGCATGCAATTCGAGCCGTGTTCCCTCTGCCTTACACTTCACCAAGTCACAGATTCTGGCATCAGAACTCAGAAAGTATATGTGACAAGAAGAAAACACAGTGCCCCTTTCCTCAGCTGTAGCACACTCATTCATGTCGCAGATATTGACCGTTTTTGTGCAACAGCAGCCTGACACTGGTCAGATGAAGAAAGAAAAGGATCTTTACTGAGAATACTCTGTCTTCCCTCACCAGTACATCTGGTGGCAGCATATGGAAGTCCAACTGCTTGAGTCATCTTCAAGCAATGTTAAAGCTCAACAACTACCAAATAACTTCTGATATGGTACTTAGCCTGCCTCCCTCCATCCCCTCCGGCTTCATAAATAATCTCTATTGACTCTGCAGAGTAATTCATAACTAATCTCCCCAGGACACCTCGGCTGATTTAACACCAGCTTCACTCGCAGACATCAAGTGGTTTATTGTTTCGTCCTCTTGGAGAAAGCTGGCAGACTGACTCTGAACATGCCTGGGAGACATGTTGCAGTTTTACATCAACTTCCCTTTACAGACATTCAGCGCTTGCTCATTTTTCCTCCTTAAATATACCCATTGATTTAACTCATAGTAACCTCCCCCCTTCATTCCTCCCTCCCATGGATCAAAGCAGAATACTTGTCGCTCATTAACCGTCTCCCCTCCAGGGGAAAAAAATTACTTACTTCATGGGCTTGCTCCTTAGATCTTGCTTAGCTTTTGAGAAAGAAGCTTGCTTGCCCACTACCACAGAACCTGCAGTTCCGTTGCTGCTACATTAAGCGCCCATACCACAGGGATCACAATCCCACTCTTTCTTTTACCTTGGAGAAGGGGACTGATTATCACGTATCAAGGCCATTTTCTTCTTCAAACTGAACCACAATGCTTCCAAAATATGCCAGCAGTAGTAGCTGTGACAGTGAGAAGCACTGACTGATACTTAGCTATATCTGAGGCCAGTTTGTAAAGATCACCCAAATCTTGTCTTTTACTGACTGCAGACTTCTCCATCTCCACAACTCACTTCACACAGGCTACCAAACTTTGTGACTGGGACATGACTTCTCTAATTCCTGAGCGCTCCTAAGGGCCTGTACAACCGCCACACTGCAGGCTGTTAAATATCTGTGTTTTGGGAATACTCATTGTCACTGCCCCATAAAGGTAGGAAAAGGAGATGTTTCCCTGCTCTCAGAAGAAGCGTTCAGGAGCCAGGCTGGTCTAAGTGTGCATTCACGCAGAAGACAGAAAGATGCAGCCACTCTTTTCACATCCTCTTATCTCAGCTGCAACTTATCAGTGAAGAAGACTGTGCCTTAACCTTTTGGGGACAACAGTTGGGCTATTTTACAAGGTAAATCTTACACCATTGTATCAACATGTGGGGAAAAAAAATCTACCAGTGCCTTTTCAGCGCTTCCCTGTGAAAGTATTCTGCCAAGTGCATAAATAAACAGGCTTTTCTATTCTTTGGTTCCTTCAGCGAATACTCTCCATGCATCCAAATACTCTTCGTTTCCTACCAAGAAGGATCTGGGGATGGCCATGTTTCTGAGCCAAGCAGAGCAAAGCAGGGCCAAACTTGGGAATGCCCAAATTACAGTGTGCTGTTGATGAGGCAGTGGTTCATCTTTTATCACAACCCTGCCTACTGGTTCCTAGTGGTGATCTAAGACAGGATGGCACCGACTGATGTGCTCAGTTTGACCTTGGGGTTTATCATACTCAGAATAGCAGGTAAAACCATTTATTGTGGACCTTAAAAACAGAAAATGTCTCCAGGAACCCAGGAGGCACTGTTTATTGCCTAGTATTTTTGAAGACAGCACAAGGAGGAACTGAACTTCTGAGTCTAATGAGCTGTATCAAGATCTGATCCGAAATCCAGAATATCATACTGCTTGGAACCTACCTTGAGATAAGGCTGAACACTGCATTGTCACATGGCAGAAAGGCACACAGGGACTAGGGGCACAGCAGAGGCAGTACACAGAGCCTGATGTTAGCTGAATAGCTTGTCCTTTTAATGTCTGAACTGAAAAGGTTCAGAAGAAGCACTGAGGAGGCACAGCTATGTGAAAAAAATACTTGGTCTCTTTAGTGTTCTGGTTGGAAATGCTGCAGAAGTCCCTTTTCTTCTCCCCAATTGACAGATATTTGAATCGACAATCTTGAAAGCCACAAACATTTGGGGAAGCTGCCTGCTAGTATCTATCTACTCTCACATTCACATGTAAAACTATTTTTGTGTAGTCAGATTCTGCCTTCTGTTACTACTGGTTTTATGATATTTTGCTAGCACTCCTACTGTTTCCAGCCTCTTCAGAGGCTTGCTGCTGACTAGCTGGGCCACAGGAATAACAAACACATCTCAGAAGAACACTGACATAATGATTTTTCTGGAATTTATGCAAAATAACTTGCACAAAAAAGTTCCATATGTATATGTTCAGCTGCCTTCTGAGCAACATGTCTCATAGAACTGGACTTCTGCTGAGCATTTCACAGAGCAAGACAGTAAGAGATACATGTCTTAGGCATGTTTTGCAAGGACCATTTAATGTTCTGCAAGAACATTTAAAGATATGGTACAAAAAAACCCACTAGAGCAGTGAAAATACTACCCGCTACTAAAGTAATGGAGGCAGAGAGAAGCCATATTAGTGAGAGAGGTCAGAGGAATTTCCAGCTGCTAGGTGAAAGCAGCGAAACACAGGGATCTGGGATGACTCTTCCAGACCACACAAGTCTGACAGTAAATCTCCAGCCTTGTGGAAACTGAAGACATCAGGAAATTCATGAGGGATAGCAGATTTCCAGTGTGACAGAAATAACTGCATGTTGGAAACACCATTAAGAAAGCCAGATTTGAAGCTAGTGGGCGCCTGGACTCACCACAGACAGATGGTTCCATGTCCTGGTTGAATTATGGCCTACTGGAAATACTGTGAGATAAACTGCTCTTGTGCCTAGTCAAACCTTTACAGTTGGCCTACGGGGCAGAGCTTCATTTTGGATCCATCAGACTCCATTAAACAGGGACAACTACATCCTTCCACTGCAGGAAAACTGAAAGATGCTGCTATCAAGTAGTTGAAATAGAGCTTTTTTTACAAAATAGAGATGAGAAGGGAGAGGAAGGCTTACAAATCTGTTAACTGTCAGCAAAAATCAGCTAGTAATTCAATTTTCATCTCTTTTCAATCTACCATGCTGCAGTCTCTCTGCAAAAGAAAGCAAGAGACATCTATTTCTCACTCTAGCTAGGTTTTGGCTTGTTGGACCATATGAAATATGAGCTCTGCTTGACCCCTTCTAACACAGTGTTAGTAAAACAAAAACATTTGAGTAGTGGAGAGAAAGAAAACCCAACCCATGCAGCTATATTACTTTAAAGGACACGACAGCTTAGTGTAAACAAAGGGGGAATAAACTACAGGGATATATGCACAGTAAGAGTCAATTGGAAACAGCTGTCGGCAGATACTGTGGCAACCTGAAAGCCAGGGCTGAAGCTCAGGGTCGCACAAACTCTCTTTGTTTGTCACAAGTTTTAAATCCCTTCTTGCTGCATGTGTGTGCACACCCACACCAACACGTGTAAGGTGCACTGCAGGAGCAGCAAGGGCATAGCAGCAGCCAGGGATGATTTGGCTAGAAGTGTCTCTCCTTCAGGGCTTAACCTAAAGGAGGAAGAAACAGGGTAATGCAAAAAAACTGCAAAAGGGTTGTAAACCCTTTTCAATTATTGTCTGCAGCCAATCCTCCCAATTCTTGTCTTTAAGAACAGAACCATATAACCATGAAGAGAAGAAAAAGGCATGAATATAGAGGTACCATTTTCGTTTCCAAAGATTTTTGCTTTTCTAGTTGCCTTTAGAAAGTAAGTTTGGGGAGGAATAGCAATCCTGGGCCAAGCTGTAAGATATTTCTGATATCCTGGGTGTAACACTATCCATTACAAACATTAAATGATCTAAGCCAGTGATAGCCCTGGTGACTGGCGTTTCCTGTAGCACAGCACAGCAAAGTTAATAGGGCACAGTGCAAACTGGCAGGCTCCTTAGGGTCAGTGAGCTCAGTCTCCAAACCTCTATCATCCATGTCAGGCCTGCTTACAACAGGATATTTCCTAGTGGAGAAGTCAACAGTCACAAAACACAGCTTTTCACCTCTGGTTTGAGTCCAGACTAGCAGCTTGAGGTGGACTGGTACCCTGAAGTACAAGGTTCATGCTTCATTGCCACTTTGCTGGAGGCAGCAGAAGGGAAGACAAATGACAGAGGCTGTCAGGGTGTCCTTTCTCTCTTTCACCACTTATAGAGGATTCCTCTCACGTAAGAATGCGCCAGACTTGCATGGCAGAAGCGGTGAATGGTGAAAAACATCTTCTGCTGCCACCCACGCTGCTTTTGTTTTGGAGATAGAATTTTTACAAATAAATATCTAGTGTCATACCAAGTCATGGACCACCTTCCTGGATCCTCCTCAGCCCAGCCACCTGCACACATTATGTTACCACTTCCAGGAAATGTTCTACGTGCTTACACGAGTTAATCTGAACCCCAGATACGCTTTGGCAGGTCTGCTAAACAGCATGAAAATCCTGTTGCCCCTATGCCTCCCCATACCTCTGCCCCAGCCTGCAGTCAGCTGCCAACACCAGCAAAGAAATGCATTGGCAGCTGCTGCAGAGAGAGAAATGTAAGCCTTCCTTCATTGTTGGTTTGGATGGTGGGGGTCCAGCCGACATGCAGGCTAAGGCCACGTAAGTAGCTTAATGAGAGCCTCCGTGGGTTTCACTAAGCAATGGAAAGAACTCACTCCAGTCCTGGTAGTCTGGCTGCAACTTTGCTTTTAACTATTAGCTTGTGAGAGCAGACAAGCAATTACATGCGCATTTTCTACTGACCGATGAAACAGTTTTATTGCTTAGTACTGCCAGATATTTCCCAGGATCCATCTCCAGCCCTACTGTCCCTCCTCTGACAGGAAAGGCAACTTTCTCAGGTGGATCAGTGTCTTCACCTATGTGATGTTTAGTGACAGACATCCAGCCCTGTACTCATGTTGGTAGAAAGGCATGAAAAGCATATAGATGGACCTGCTGTCACAGCATTTGAAGGTATTAGAGTCATTGCAGAAGCATACAAAGGCAGATTCTGGCTTCCAAAACCTAATTTACAAATACAGCAACTAATTCTTGAGTATCTCTTTTTACGTTTACCACTCTTCTCACCAAGAGTCAAAAATAACGAAGATGAACACCACTCTCAGCTCTGCTGTATTCTAGGGAGAAGGTCAGAGCAACATTTAGAAAACAACATACAGAACAGACAAATGACATATACAGAACATGGTGGACACATCACTTAGAGTGAAGTCCAAGCACTGCCAATGAGCTGCTTTCATCTACCTATGAGTACTGATAGATTTCTAGTGATGAGTCTTCAGACACAACTCGCTGTCTATGTCTATCTGTTTAATGCACAAAATGTGTGTGTGCATATGTTTATTAAGTGCACCAACACTTCACAGAGACGTGTGTTTTTATGATACTGCAAGAGAGGTTTCTCTGAAGCTCTGCAGGTGTTAGACAGAAGGTCTAGGTGAGAGAAGAAACGTGCCCGTTTGTTTAATTCCATCCCCTCTTGCCTCTATGTTGACCACAGGATGTCCTGTAAGCTAAGGCTTAGCACACTTACTTGGAAAGGAGAATGACACAATTCTGAGCCCTCCGGCCATCAATCACAGAGAGCTCTTTCACTTTTCGTGTGGAGAGGTAGAGATCTTCTGTTGAACCCATCTCTTTCTGCATATAATTCAAAAGAGGGAGGAAAACAATCAGTGTCATGTTTCTCACCCAAGACTGATAGACTTAGCTGAGTGTAATGAGCAAAACCCATCTCAGCCTTGGAAAATCCACCCACACGATGAGACAAAGAGGCAGGAAGGGAATAAAACACATGGGTTGGTCCTGTATAACTTCACAAACAGAAGCCATTCCTTACCACTTATCATCTTTAATTCCAAATACTGGACCTGAGTCTACTGGACTCACTCTACAACAGTTATGTTATTATTATTATCTTATTGTACAGAACTGCTATGAGGGAAATCAGGCACATTATGGTAACGCCCACTGGTGTCACAGCATATCCTTCAGCAGATGCCTCCTGCAAGGGTTACACAGCATTCTTGAAAAGTTGTGGCACAATCAGGAAAAATCCTTCTATCATCTTTTAAGGCTGCCACTGGACCAGTCCAATACGTATTATATAAGAGATACAAACAGTAGGGCAAGATGGCATTTATCTTATTGAATATATGTTACTAAATGGTCAGCATCTACATCTGAACTAGCCTCTCTTTTTTAAATTAATTAATGCTTTTAATTGTACAGAAACCACCCTTTTCAAAATTCTCTGTCTTTCTCCATTGCCAAACTTATCACTTGGGAAAATACCTGGAAAATCCCCATCCAAAATGTTTGTCACAGCACACAGAGATAAACTATTTGCAAACCCAGTCTGAACCATCCAGAAATCTCCTTGTCCTGCCTACACACCACAGCGATGGGATTTCTTTCACTTCTAGAGACTGGCTTTCTCTAGTTACTTTGAGTATCTTTTAACACCATTCCTTAAAGGGAAGTAGAGGTAATGATAAAAGGTGTTAATTCTGGATAACAGCTCTCTAGGTACCAATAGAGAAGAGGGAACTGGAAATAGGATAGTTTTTGTTTTCCCAGCTAACCGCTGCTGGAACCTCTTCAAAAATGCCTTTCTATGATATCCATATTGTCATGCCTTTAGATTTTGAGACTTACTAGTATAATCTGGCTTTGAATGCACCCATCAGATTAGCAACATGACTTCTTTCTTAGTTCATAACAGCAAGCATGCTGAGTCAGATCAAAAGGTCCATCTACCCCAGTATCCGGTCACTGGGAGTGATCAACAGCAGATACCCAGGGAAAGGTGTAAGACTATGGCAAGCATACAGTGGTGTTTCCCAGAATTCACTCCCAAGACTCAAGGTTCTGCAGCTCAAGGTTCACTTATATCCGTATGACTCATCCACTCAAAGACATTTTGACAGCCAAGTATTTGAAAGTTAAATGTAAAACATAGACTCATACTGCTAGTTGTCATTTGAGTTCTTGGTACAATCAGCTACAATGAGCCTGTGTTGCTCTGGGATATACAAAGGATTCCTACAATCACATCCAAATATGCTCCAGCGAGCCACCACCAATACTAAGTAGCATTTATAAGTAGGTACAATGCACCAGCTGAAGACATGCACACAATAGTTCTGGCCTGATGTGCCCAAAGTGTCTAGCTTGGCAGAAAAAAATTGCAATGTTACCTGATACTTCAAATAGTGTTTCCAAAAAAAGGAAAAATTGGGCATTGGGCAAGTTTATTATTTCTGAGAAAATAACTAACAGTACCAAAAGCCAGGTCACAACCAGGATAATCTGGCACGTAGAGATGTCAAAGTTTCCCTGAGTTTCCTCAGTTTATGGGGAGGAAGACAGGGGAACAGGGAGATAAGATAGGCCACTGTTGGAAGGTAAGAAAGATATTTGTTGGTCTGTGCTCTTGGTTTAAAAGCTTCGCTGTCCCTCACTAGCTAATGTTTATGGACAAGCACACCTGGTTAGTGTTAACCGGCATCCATCCCATAGAAAAAACAAAATGTTTCAGGGTTTGGCTGTGTGTGTGGGGTGGGGGTTTAGACAGCTTCCCCTAAAGCTGTGCAGCAAGGATTGGTATAACAGTCTCCATCCCATTTCCAATCTCCTGACCCACAAGGTTGAACACAGATGAATAATTTGAACTACTCAGACGTGCCCCACTCCTTCGTCATAAGGAGTGTGCTAGTCTCTTCTAAAAATATATTCTCTTCAACTCATATTGAGAAGAGAGATATTTATAGATACTTGGAGTTGTGTGTAAGCAAAAGCAGATGAAGCCTCAGGTTTTACCAAAGCCAGATTGCAATCTTAGCTGAAGGAAAACAGATTGTATATGGACTATCTGCATTTTCTTAGACACAGAAAAAGAGGACCATGGGGGCAGTAGTGACTAGCTTTTGTGAGATAGGCTGAGCACACTAAACAAGAATTGTTGGAGCTGTTGTCAACCTGACAGACAAGATCCCTAATTTTTATTCCATCATTCTTTACCAACTTTCCATCTGGGATAACATTATGTTATGTGCTTCAAAGAGTACTTCAGATTTGAGATTTTAATTGCAAATTTCAAAGTAAGATAATATTTCAGTGCTGGGATAACTAGAGGTGTGGAACATGTTCATCATACTGCTGCTCTGTTTCAAATACAGTTTGATTTTGGTTAGCTGCAGAACTTGTGGTCTGGTACCAGGCAGCACCCTAGGTTACAGTAATTATCAATACTTTAGGGCACTATTTCTACCATATCGGCTTGTTTTATCATGCACACTGCCATGATGAAAGCCAGTAAATGGCTCAGAGCCATGTATTAGCCTCAATCAGTGGCAGAGGTCCTGACCAGACTTTCCTAATACAGTTTCCTGGGCACTCATGGTGAGGACTACTTTCTTCTGAAGCCACCAGAGACATTTGTGAGGACTCCTGAACAACTCTCTTCTGAGAGCATTGCTCTTTCCAGAAGCGTTACCAAGAAATTTGCTTAAGGCGATGAATAAATTGAGAGGTACCCAGATTGAAGACATGTGGGCAGTCTGATACCTCTACTTCATCTAAACACCATTTCAGTCTTTTGCTGAACTTTCTGAGGCTTTCAGCAGTCTGCAATAAAGCAGGAGTTCCTCCAGTCTAACCCTTTTGCTCCTTAACTGGCACAAATCCTTCTGCCCAACCAAAGTGCCTTCCGGTTCTACAGAAAGAAAGATTTTCTTTATCAGAAAGTCTGTGGCTAGCGAATACCTCTGGAGATTTCAGTGCTGTCCAAAGCAGGTGGACCACCGATGAGAACAGTGGGAGTGAAGGCTCCCTGAGAACTCCTTTTGTTCTCCACTAGAGACACCATTACTTTGGTTAAGGAAGAGTTCACATTCACATTCTACTTTGTTCCTGGTCTTTGTCCTCAGGATCATCAAAAAGGGGAGTACAGACACCAGCAGAAACCACAGTGAGTTTATAGCTTAAGTGAAAGAACAGGAACTACTTCTTATTGCAGAGCCAATACATCTAAAGAAATTTTTTGTACCACCTTCCCCACCCACACAGCAGAAGTGCAAGGGTATATGAAAGAGTAGCATGAGAAGAGTCATGACCCCGTAACAGCATGGTGCAGGACTTCACCTTCCCACATAAGGCAAGAGGATCAGGAGGCAGACAATGATACTCACCTGCTTACAGGAGGAGGGGTTAGTTAGCAGGTCCTATGCAGGCAGCAGCCGCAAATAACGAAGAAGGAAACATGCCAAAAATTAGTCACAGAGAAAGATATCAAGTTTAACAAGGCAGCTGAATTTAGACACACACTGTTTTCTAAGAGAATAAAATGCTTAGCAAGTAATACTGGCCTAGGTGGTTCAAAGGTATTTCAGCATTTCTTTTCACATTTTAAAACAGCAAATGTTGGGGAACTAAGAGTTCTAGGTCTTTTCTGAAAAGAATAAATTCAGTCTCCAAAGGATAAACCTCTTAGACTTTGAAACATTAACTAAGATAATGCTTAAATACCTTTACAAATCTAGTCCAGAGCCTTACTGACAGAACTTCCAAGGTTAAAACTTCAGGGTCAGTTCTCCTCTCCTAATGCACAGGCACAGTTTGCCATTATTAGTAGCAACTTGTTTCAATGGTACGTTATACCCTTTAACAACTTATAGCCAAGTATTTTGAAAGCACTCTGTAACCACCAAAGAAGTCTTACAGCACTACTGGGTGACAGACTCCAACTATTTCACAACATATTCCACACTCCAGGAAAACACCAGATACACTGAATCAAAAGGTCAGTGTTACACAGTAGGACTGGAGCATGGTCAAAAGACAAGTGTAAGAATTCTTGGTCCAGCATTCTGTATGCTGGACAATTCTGCTTTCCCTCACAGCCACCAAAAATGATACACTGAGCTTGAGAGAGGAGAAGAGACCTTTTGTCATTAAAAAAATTAAGAAGAAAGAAAAGTTGTTTAATGTAAATTGAACTGGAAAAAAATGAAGATCATGTTAATAACAGCAAAGAAAGAAATGTCTTTATCTGTACACATTCAGCATTTCAGATGCAAAAGAGCAGGGCTTTGCGTTGACATTTTTCTTTACAGATATTTGGATGAAGTTTAAAAGTCACAAACCCAGGGTAAACACATACTTGGCCAGAGTGGAGTATTTCCAAAAAGAAAAGAGGAGAAAAGACTAAGTATGAATCAACTGGAAAAGTTCTCATAAGTTTTTGATTCAATAGCAATTTTGATTGCCTGGTCTTCGAAAAAAAAAATTAAACAAAATCAATGAGAACTCATTGATTGGAATTTTGATATCCAGTTCACACTGGAGTGAGTATGGGTGAAAAAGTAAGTATCATGTAAAGTAGTAACAATGGAATCTTTAAGGGGAAAAAATTCCCACAAAGCCCTCAACAAAAGCTGGAAGGGCAGCAATACACCTAACTACACAAAAATACGAGTAGCTTACAGAAGTGATACTCCAGTGTCTGGAGCCACTATCATGAAGCGTGTTTCATGAGGATGGAAGAGAACGTTCTGAGACCCATGGAGGTCACTCTGAGATGATGGCTCCATTCCAGTGGGCAGGGGTAAGGGTCAGGTTAGTTTACAGTTGAGTAGGCCAGGCTGCTTTTCAGTGGTTGGTAACATAGCTGTAAATATTATGATTCTAACTGAGAGTCTGCAGTGGAGGACAGCTTTGGCTTTCAATTTTGGGGCTCAAAGGAAGCCAGGCTTTGCAAGGTGATTTCTAGTGAGCAAGCTGCAATGTTTGCACCTGAAACATTGGAATGGCACCTTGATGCTGCAATGGCTACTCATGTGCACAAATGACAGTCTGGCTACTTGCAAGACAACTGGGAGCTCACCACCATGGCTAAGCTGTTAGCACAGGGTCTAAATCCAACCTTGTAGCAGCACTGAAGTTTCACCTGCCTTTCTTTCGCTCTATGAACTAAGTTCTTGCTTCAGTGAACGGGACTCACAGAATCACAGAATCACAGAATCACAGAATAGTAGGGGTTGGAAGGGACCTCTGTGGGTCATCTAGTCCAACCCCCCCGCCGAAGCAGGGTCACCTACAGCAGGCTGCACAGGACCTTGTCCAGGCGGGTCTTGAATATCTCCAGAGAAGGAGACTCCACAACCTCCCTGGGCAGCCTGTTCCAGTGCTCCGTCACCCTCAGAGCGAAGAAGTTCTTCCTCATGTTCAGACGGAACTTCCTGTGCCTCAGTTTGTGCCCATTACCCCTTGTCCTGTCACTGGGCACCACTGAAAAGAGCTTGGCCCCATCCTCCTGACACCCACCCTTCAGATATTTGTAGGCATTTATAAGGTCCCCTCGCAGCCTTCTCTTCTTCAGGCTGAACAAGCCCAGTTCCCTCAACCTCTCCTCGTAGTGGAGATGCTCCAGTCCCCTCACCATCCTTGTAGCCCAGAAAGACCCACTGAAACAGCAACAGCTATTTGCAGGAGCAGAATGACAAATGAAATCTCATTATGCAACGGTTAACATCACATTCTTCACAGTTCAAGTTGGGATACTTATCTAGGTGGCTATGAGCTAGTGAATCAGAAGAGTAATTCATTAGGTTTATTGGATTAGATAGAAAAATGAGAGAGAGAAGGGAACAGATGGAAAGTCCAAAGACAAGGGGTTTGTTAATTTTAAGGTACTGAAGAAGTTAATCGTAATGACAATAAAGTAATCATCATCACTGTAAGGCTTAATCACAAAGGCTGCTTATGGCAATCAAGTCTCTGTCGTTTCTTAAAACTCCAGAGCAATGATCCAGTTCTGCAGACTACAAAAGACGGAATTTTTGCAAACATACTCCAAAAGCAAAGGAAAGCTGGGGGAGTTCAGGGAGTGAACTACAATCCCTCTCCTGCTAAATCTCATTCAGTGGAGATAGACAGATTGAAAGCGACTAGCTTTCCAAGAAAAAGAGGAGAGAAAAAAGACATTCTAATAAACGGCTGCTTTTAAACTATGCTGTTTGTGTTATAATCTGTAATTGAGACAGTTTCTGTCACCTAGCCAGTTGGGTCATTTGGCTGTTTAAGTAAAAATAGAGAAAGCAAAAGACAGCTAATTCAGTCACCTTGCCCAGTACTCAGACAACTACAGACTTTTTCTTTGGATGAATTGGAGAAATAGAAAGATGCATATCAAGCATGAATGTAAAGCCCAGGAGCTTTTTGAAGCCAATGGCTGCTGAGTTCAAATAAATCATTACCTGTTGGGAGCTGTTGCTTCTGAGAACTGCCCATTAGTACGAAGTATGTCAATAACAGAAGGTTATACTTTGCCCTACATGTCCTCCCCATTTCTTTTGGTCTTGTAATTTTTTGAGCAGTGGCAGAGCAGCAAATGATGTAGCCTGACTGCAGGTGGACAAGGGCCCAGATCACTGTCATGTGTTCTTTCTTCCTTCAGAAATTCAAGGAAGACAAGGTGTGGAAGAGTTCATCCTTACCTGGTGTCTCTGATAAGCGGAGAACATCTTTTCAAAATCTTCTAGATCCAGCACCTTGAATGCCTTTAAATCATCAATCTCATTCCAGATTGTGCCAGGGATCCTCTCCTGAAAGAAAATGTTATATTTTAATGAGATAGCAAAAGCTTTTAGCTAAGAACATCCAGTCCCATTTGGACAGATCATTCTCTCCTGCTCACTGGCCGTATTCCTATGTACTGCTGCTGTTATTTTAGAGGGCATGCTTTGTTTCAAGAGTCAAAGCAGAAAAAAATAGTGGTGTGTTTTTGGTTTTTATTTAAACATACTGAGTATTTTGTATTTTTCATCACAGCAAGCCTGTGATGAAAGAGCACATTCCAAGACTAGTAGACCACATGTCAAGCAATATCAATGATCCCACAGTACGTTTCCTTTCAACAGTGGCCATCCGTCTAGCACAATAATTGTGGTCATGCTGAAAGAAGTGTTATCATCGAGCAAAAAGCTTAGGAAGGGAACTGATGCATGACAAACCCCAGACACATCTTCCTTTCTGCAAATTTTGCCAGGTTCTGTTGTAAACCCCAAAGGGCATGTAGTTTCCATTCTGCCTGCCTGTGAAAGTAGTTGAAGATTTTATTTTATTTTACTTTTAAGGTTCTGAATCTTTGAAGTTTAATTGTTTCTTATTACATGATCTCCGCTGTCTACGTGAGTTCTTCGTTAACTCAGATAGACACAAACTATACCCAGATCTCTGAAAGAGCATCATCCACACTAACTGGAAATGTTCACAACCCATGTGATACATTATCTTGAATGCCAGGGAACTCTAGCTGTCTGACAGATGATTAGCATGGAGGGAGACAGGCACAGACACCTCCTCCAACTTTGCTGTCCACAAACCCTAGACCAAATAAGGTCTTGAAGTACATGAATTAGATAATCAGCAGTCATCCTAAACTAGAAGGCGGCTTTGGAGTCTCCTGCTCACTTTCTCAGGACAGATGTCTTTGCTGGCAAAGACAACACAAAGATTGAACTACCTTTTCCTTCCTACTGGCTGCTAAGGTGTATGTTATGTGGGATAAGATTTGAGCAACTACCCATTCAGAAAAGGAATCATAGAAACATTAAGGTTGGAAAACACCTCTGAGATCATCAAGTCCAACCATCCACCCAACACCACCATGTCTGCTAAACCATATCCTGAAGTGCCACATCTACACAGTTTTTAAACGCCTCTAGGGATGGTGACTCCACCACCTCCTTGGGCAGCCTGTTCCAATGCCTGACCACTCTTTCAGTAAAGAAATTTTTCCTAATATCCAGCCTAAACCTCCCCTGATGCAACTTGAGGCCATTGTCTCTCATCCTAGCGTTAGTTACTTGGAAGAAGAGATCAACACCTGCCTCAATACAACCTCTTTTCAGGTAGTTGTAGAGAGCAATAAAGTCCCCCCTCAGCCTCCTTTTCTCCAGACTAAACAATCCCCAGTTGCCTCAGCTGCTCCTCGTAAGACTTGTTCTCCAGACCCCTCACCAGTTTCATTGCTCTTCTCTGGACACGCTCCAGCAACTCAATGTCTTTCTTGTAGTCAGGGGCCCAGAACTGAACACAGTACTCGAGGTGTGGCCTCACCAGTGCCGAGTACAGGGGCATGATCACCTCCCTACTCCAGCTGGCCACACTGTTCCTGATACAAGCCAGGATGCCGTTGGCCTTCTTGGCCACCTGGGCACACTGCTGGCTCATGTTCAGCTGGCTGTCAACCAACACTCCCAGTTCCTTTTCCTCCAGGCAGCTTTCCAGCCACTCCTCCCCAAGCCTGTAGCATTGCATGGGGTTGTTGTGACCGAAGTGCCATTGGCCTTGTTGAACCCCATAGACTTGGCCTCGGTCCATCGATACAGTCTGTCCAGATCAGGAAAACTTGTTCTTCACACCTGACAACATGGTCTTTCAGTTCATTTAGTTAATGAAGTGTACATTTATTATACTTTATTAACTGGAAAAATAAGGAAGGTGTTGATTAAAAGAAAAAGGAAATGGACAGAAGGGGTTGTAAAAAGACCTAAGCAAATCCCAGGGGATGTAGAGCCAGCAGAATGCTGATGCAGAGAAAACCAGGAACAGCAAGCAATAGCAATCAAACCCTCACATGGGCTACAGATCTGAAGTACCTGACTTGTACCTACACAGCAAAGTGCATTAACACTTCATTATCAGAACTAATTAGGAACAGGCTCTACTTCCCATTCACAGTCATCAAAGGAATGAGGGAAATGTGCTAAGCCACAAGGCTCAAGGAGCAAGGAAAAATGCCTGAAGGGAGGATGAAATGAGAAGGAAATAAAAGTGTGAACTGTTCAGGAGGAAATTCCTGGCAGGGCAGACACTGTGGAGGAAAACCAACACCCTCCCTCCAGAGGCAGCCTGTGAGTGCCTGAAGGCAAGGAGGGATGTCTGCAGTGCTATTTACAGGGAGAGCATATACTAGATGGAAGCAGCACCCATCCCTGAAAAGGCTCACCAATATCACTCTATCTTTCCTTGCAATCAGCGTGGCTCTTCTTTTCATAACAGGAAAAACTTCATGACCCTGTGGCTGTAACACGACAAATGAGTTTGGGAGGCTCATCTCAGCCAAAGGAATATGAGACAAAGTTAATTTTCTTTTCATCCTAACCCTGGACTCTACTGTGAATCTTAACCAGAAGCATCCAGGCAGAGTGTTCATTCTCATTCAATTTCCAGTCTGGCTTTATAAACCTTGAATTATAAATCCTGAGGGATGTATTTGAACAGCAAGGCAGTTCCTCACTGTTTCAGATTGCCCCACCAAACACTGAAGTGGAAGAGTATTTCTTGACAGGAGCCAGTGGACATGACTTCAGGAGCAGTCCTTAGAGTCATCATTGGGATAGAGCCCTGAGGATGCCAAAAAGCTGTATGGTGTGTTTGGCAGAAGGCTGGATGTTAATCAAGGGACAGCTACTCACAAAAGTCTTGCCCATCTACCTGTCCCACTGCAAAACTCCTATGGGAGTGAAGTTTCCCCACAAATGGCAACAGTGAAAATGTGCTACAGAACGGGCTAGTCTGAATGAACTGCAGAGATGTCAGGACAGGCAGTTCTGAGGCTCACAAAGGGACTGCAGATAGTAGTTCTCATCCATACTTCCCCAGAAAAACAACCCAAGGAAGCGAAAATGATTCTCATCTCAATTCAGATTCATTTTAAGACCTAGGCTGAATTTGGTTCTGTGCAGGATGGTTTGTATGCTGCTTGTAGCAGAAAGACAAATTGTGAAGCGCCCATTGCAGTAGCGTGCACAAACAGAACTTTGACCCAAGCAACCCAACTTTAGTGCTGAAAAACCAAATGGGCTAATCCAGTCAAAGATAAAAGAAGGCAGGAACAGGTATGGACAACCTTTGTTAAACAAAACACTTGCAAAGGAGCTGTCTCTTCTATTTCTACCCTAAACTCTGCCCTTGAAAACTTTCATGTTGCTGCCAGATAATATCTTACGCTGAGCTCTTGCTACTCAGTTATAGATTAACTGGCTGATAGTTCCTTGTCATCAGCCAGAGAGACGGAGTGCTTTAGGAGAAACAGACTTGCATAATGTGGTTGCTGTGATAAATGATTCCCTCAGCACCATAAAAAATATTTATGGTCCCTAAACAGCAATTTAAAAATAAAGTAAATTCTTTATTTCTTCTTTCCTATTTTTTCTCCCCTTAAAAAAAAAAAAAAAAGAAAAAAAAAGGAAAGGTCACTTCATCTGTAACCTGCTTTTCTCCCCATAGTTATTTGTTTATTTATATATTCATTCTACAAGTCTTCCAAGATCTGTGGTTTGTCCGCTTTGCAAAGTCTTGGCCCACTTTGAGAAGCAAATCCTATGAACTACATTTCTCAGTGTCCTCTAGCAAAATGGTAGTACATACTAGGTAAGGGAACATCGTATTATCAGAACAAGTATTGAGGAACTACTGGAGAGAGTCCAGCGGAGGGCTACAAGGATGATGAGGGGACTGGAGCGTCTCTCCTCTAAGGAAAGGCTGAGGGAGCTGGGCTTGTTCAGCCTGAAGCAGAGAAGGCTGAGAGGAGACCTTATAAATGCTTATAAATACCTGAAGGGTGGGTGTCAGGAGGATGCGGCCAGACTCTTTTCAGTGCTGCCCAGCGACAGGACAAGGGGCAACGGGCAAAAACTGAGGCAAAGGAAGTTCCATCTGAACGTGAGGAAGAACTTCTTCCCTCTGAGGGTGATGGAGCCCTGGAATAGGCTGCCCAGAGGGGTTGTGGAGTCTCCTTCTCTGGAGATATTCAAAATCCACCTAGATGAGATCCTGTGCAGCCTGCTGTAGGTGACCCTGCTTTGGCAGGGGGGTTGGACTAGATGACCCACAGAGGTCACTTCCAGCCCCTACCAGTCTGTGATTCTGTGAAGGCATTTGCTCCATCAAGCTGCTTTATTTGTAGGTTGCATTTAACAATTTGCTCACTGTAGCTGCTGCAGTTATGTCATTCTGCCTTTGTAATGAAGCCCAGTTTGCTGAGAGACCTAACAAGATTCGAGAATGATGGTGTTTCATGGAGCTACAAATCATATCAAGCTGTCCTCTGCTACATCTAACAGATGATTTTATTTACCCTGAAAGATAAATAGCAATACTTTGGAAGCCACCAAAGTCCATCTTGCCTCAATAATTTCACAGCTTGAGTGAAAACTTACAGTACTTTAGTAGAGCCTTTCATTTGTCCTGCAGGTCTGGAGAAACCATAGAAAATATGAGTGTCCTGTGAATACTGAAGCAGGCAATCCTGCTTATTATTATATTTTACAAATATTAACCTTCAAAAAGTGAGGCAACTTAAATTTTTAATTCACAATTCCATTACAAATCTGAATAAGGGATATGAACAGACCACGTTTCCCAAATTTCTCTCTTGATATCAGATCCCTTCCTCAGCGTAAGAAAAATTCACTTTGAGCAAATTGTATTTCTGGCATGTTTGTTAATTGAAACAGCTGTTTTATCTCACTGTAGGACTAGGCACCACCAAGGCTGTTACGAGTAGCTTCACACTGAGTTTTTGTAGAAAACTTTCCATTTATTTTGAGTCTTTGGCAGCAGTCCTGCATCAGTGTTTGCCATGATCCTCAGTAAAAAAACTGGTAGCAAAACAAACATTTTCTGTTTCTGTGATGATTGTTTTTTGGGGTTGTGGTGCTTTTTGCTTTTTTTTTTTAATCCTGTGTGGTATGCAGTACAAATACCTTTCTGAGACAATTTCACCCAGGTCTATTTAGAGCTGTCTAAAGAAAGCCCCTTTCAGATCATTGACTAAGTCATTACCAGCCTGACACTTAACGGGAACCTGCTTCTCCAGCCAAGAGATAAAAGGCAGTGCAGTTGAAGGTTGACTTGATTTACTCTGATAACTTCAAATCAATAAGTTTATATTTATTAAAGAGGTAATTATATTAATCCATACTTCCAGTGTGCTTGAAACCCATCCATCACTTGGATAAAACATAAATAAACATCAATATCTGGTCCCTGTTTGACCTTGGGTGTTATGTAAAACTCAGAGTGGGAGAGCAAACTCGACTTGCTGTCCAGAAACAAAGAAAGAAATCTTTCCAGGCCATTACAGTGGTTACACTGCAATATCTTTTTCTTAAAAAACAGACAGCCTTGGCACCAACAGTACTATCGTGTTGTATGAATGGAATTCACAGATGATGCTACAGTGCTGTATGAATGGAGTTGTGGTATGGAAGGGCTTCACCGGAACTCTGCCCATCCATGCATCTAAACGGCTTTGCCACTGATCTTCAGCTCGCATCAAAGCTAGTACAAAATCTTCAATTCTCAAAGGAAATTAGCAGGTTGTCGGAGTTTTCTTGTTAGATGCACAAATACTTTCCAGTCAAACCCTTTTTCATGGTGCCCATGGGAACTGTGGACAATCTGTTATTGTCAACTGCCTAGAGTTTGAATATGCTTGATCGTTCTCCTAACACCAAACAGCTCAGTCCTTTTCTTCCAAAGACAATATCGGCATTGGAAAAAAAGGTGTCATATGAATTGTCCTGCAGAACAGCCTTGATTCCACTACTGAGAAAGCACATCACAGACAAATCCCTCTTGGCCAGCCCTGTCCACACTCCTTGCGGGCTCTGCTGGCTTTCTCTCACTCTCTTGAGGCAGGCTGCATGCACAGAAAGGGGTTCGCTCTCAGGTGGGCTGCCTCACGCCTGGCATCATCATCACACTTACTTAAGAAAGCTTAGGAGAGAGACTCTGTATTAACTGCTTTGAGAAGGATGGTCTAAACAGTCTGCAGAGAAACCTAAGAGCTGAATAACACATTTGACCTGGCTACAGGCCTAAGCTTGTGTACAGCTCTGTTTCCAACACTGTGTTACCGCACTTTGCTACGGTGCACAGTGTGGACATGCCTGTGCTCTTTGCTAACTAGACCAGTCTTTTAAAAGAGCAAACCATACACATTGGTTTTGGAAAACCAATGCAAACCATACACATTTGGTTTTGGAAAACATACAGATGTTTTCTTCCTCTAAATATTTTTGTGGGGAAAACTTGTATTCAAATAAACTAGAAGTCAAACACTACCACAAACCACAGCGATACTGTGCACACTTCCAGGCCTCAGTTTCTCATGCTCAAAACCTTGAGATACACCCCTCCCAGCCAAAGTACTTGTTGTGAGTCTTCATCCATTCATGTATGGCTACTTCAGCTGTTCAGGAGAACACACAGAAGTGCAGCAATGGTAACAAAAGGCAAGATGAGACCACCCGACCTACCCATGGCTTTGCATTCAGAGGGCTGAACAGAAAGAAAGTGCCTGGTACTGAAGCAGGGAATCTAGGATAACTGATGAAGCTGGCCAAAACGTATTGCCTCCTCCAGCAGTCACTAGAATTAAATAATTCCATAACAAAGTGCACCCCAAATGAAAAGGCAAGCCACCTGCGTCTGCACCACAACCTCTGCAGTTTTGCAGAGATCTCTGGAGGTCAAAACATTAACACTGGCAAATACTCCAAAATGAATCCCTCACCCTCGTACGCCCCTCTTTCCAACTACTCTGTCTTCCTCAAAATAGCATCTTCTACCTACCTCACCACCAAGGCCTTCAATTTTATTAGCACAACTGCCTTCATCCCTAACCAGAGGGCAGGATAAGCCTACAGTTACTGTACACTAAACAGAAACACCTGTGACTCTCTTTTTTTCAGATACATCTATATATGCATATATTAGTTATTATTTCTTTTCTTCAGAGCACTAAGTCCCATGTTCTGCAAAGGAAAATAAATCCCCATCCTTACATTCTCTCCCACACCCCCCACGTGGCCTTGACAGACAAGCACAGACCATGCAGCAAATATTTCACTTCACTTTATTTTAAAGAATAGGAGAGAGGGGGAGAGAGAATTCTTGTGGCATTCCAGAGCTCCCTGGACACTCATTCCAAATGCTGGAGTTGAGCCCTGGGTGAGTTTCAGTCTAAAAGAGAACCTGGGTTTCTAGGCAGCCATCCAAACTCAACACAGACACTTTTTTTTCTTTCTAAATCAGTTAAAAAAAATTAAGACATAAAGAGAAGGGGGTGGGGGGAAGAGAGAAGGAAGAGAGAGAAGTGGAGGGAAAGGAGAGGCAACCAAGATAGCAGAAATTGAGTGCAACAGGAAGAATCCAAGTCCTCTGTTTTTATTGCCAATTTGGAGTTTTATCACCAAGAGACAGGTGTAACCATGCAAGGAGAAGGGCAGCTTCCCCTGAGGTCATGAAAAAATGGTGAGGAGAATCCGTCTGCCTTTCACTCCTTGGTGATGTTTCCATCCAGGGTAGAAGAGGCTTGGTTTGGAGCTGGTTTTCACCATGTTTTGCTCCCATTGGCTCTGGCCATCTTTCTCCCTGATGCACAAGTGAAGGCAGCTCTGGCACACCGGTCCTGGAGATGTCCAGCTCTGGCTTCTGTATTCAGTCCCACTACAGCTTTACCTAACCAATAGCACAACCAGAACTACTGCAGCTCAATCTAACCAGCACCTTGGTCATCACAGGAGACACGCTGCACTGCTAGAGAACTGGGGAGACTCCCTCAAGACTGTTACTGACACCTACTGACCTCAGCCCAAGGAAAGCCACAATATCATTGGCTTCTGTCACTTTGTTCTTCATGGCAATAGTCAACACTGAGTTATACTTAGAAAGTAAATTAATTGCTAAGAGTACTGCAATTTCTTACCTCACTCAGCTTAGCCCAGTTGAAGGATTTCAGTGGGTGTGAAGGCTGTGGGATAGATTTCTTCTTCAGGCTGGTGCCACTGCTGCTGAAGGTGGTTGTTGAAGGGGGTGGCATCCCCATGCTGAAGAAAGGCGGTGCTCCTGGTGGGGGAGGAGGTCCTCCTGGTGGAGGTGGTGGAGCAGGAGGAGGAGGACAGCTGGAGAAAGGCAGAGGAGGTGGCAGTGGGGGCAAATTCTCAGACATATGAGAAGAGGACAAAGCTAATGGGCCACCTGGAGGTGGGGGTGGGGGTGGGGGGAAGGAAATGCTGCCCCCTTGCTGGAAAATAAAAAACACACAGAAAAAGAAAGCAAACAGTTTAAAAGGCACAATAACTCCATATTGCCAGCTGATGTGATTTTATTACAACTCTCAAAATATTTGATGTTTTCTTTAAAGCCTCCTGCACTCAAAGCCATGCAATAAAGGGAGGAATCTCAGCTTTCATTTAAGAGAAAGTTTCAAGCCCTTGAAGTTGTGGAGGAGAGTTTGAAAAAAGGAACCATAAATGGCTCAGAAAAACAGAAAGCTAGTAAAGAAGCCAAAATGTATTATTTTCTCCTTATGTATGAAAAAAGAGAGAAGTTAAATTTTATGAACTTTTGAACTCCTAGGATTTAAACCTTAGGGTTTGAAATACTGAATACCTGTCATTAGGCCCCACTAATGCAAAGTGGGAGAGAGGAGGAGGGAATGAATCTGCTTTCTGTAGTGTCTAACTTCTCAGGGCCATGTCCTGGTGAGTGAGGCTCGGGCACACTGCTGGGACAGAAGGAGCACCAAGCAGGAGGGAACAGCTGCAAAAGTCACTTCTGCAGAGCTCCAAGGCAGTACAGATGCTCTTGAAGCACAACAGAAATCCTGTTTCCTCACTAAATTTACTCTCATATCTGGGAGATTTCTCTCTATTCCACTAAAATAACAACCAGAGTCACCCCACTCAGCAGTAAAAATTATGGCTTGAGGCAGACATATGACACAGCAGCTCCTGCAAGGAGAGTGGCTGAGGAGAAGGAATGCAGCAGCCCATTCATTATCCATTCTATACCACCAGCTCAGGGATTTCAGTCTCAACTAAAAGCTGAGAAGCTTCTAAATATTCATCTTTCTAGCTGGATAGATAGACTCTGTCTGTACTGACCATAGGAAGTGTTTCACTCATAACGTGCTTTTGTTCATCATTCACTAGTTAGCAGGCTTTAAACAAGGATGGGAAGAGTCCCAGTCTCATACCGAGAACTCGTTAAGCTGAGCCACCAGGTCGTTCATCTGGTCCCGGGTCTGGCGCAGCTCCAAGGATTCCTTCTGCAGCTTGTCCTTCATTTTGTTCAGTGTCTTCATCATTTCATCTTTCTCCTGGGTCTTTGTCTCACATTCCCGCTCCTTCTTCTCTAGCCTGCTCATCAGCTCGGCATGATCTACGGGGAACAGGAAAGTGAGGCTGATGAAATAAAACTCATGAATATTCCCCAGAGGGATGTAGGTTATGCTGAAATAAAGCTGACAAATCTGTCACTTCAACTGGGGATGTATAATGAGAGTAGCAAAAAGAAAGAAAACAGAGTCTGACAGTCTTGACAGTGATCTTCAGTGATCAAGACAGCAACGCGCAAGTTTCACTTAGACTGTAAAATCACTTCATGTGACGACTGAGGGAAGCCCCATCCTATGAAACACATAAATTGATCACCATGAGACAAAATGTACTGGAGGGAACAAAGCAGAGTTTGTCCATGAAAGGAAAAATTGTGCCCATCTCTGCTGCCCACTGCTCTGTGACTGAATTGGGATCAGTGTTGCCTCCTCTTTTGCCTCCCCCAGCATAAAGGACACACTCACCTTTCCGAAACTTCTCCGCCTGGTCCCTCCACTGCTTGACTTCATTTTCGTTCACCAGCCTGAAAGATGAATTCAGATCATTTAAACTCGTTCTGAGCTACCCAGGCTGAAAGGCAAGTGGCCATTATGTGTAGTGATCAGCAAAAGGCGAATGGTGAAATTTACATGTTTATACAGGATCACACCAGTGGTCAGTCTGGTTCCAGATCCCGATCCTTACTGTAGCCAACAGCTAATATAAATGTGATGGGTTGTTGCTCAAAGTCCTGAAAAGGGATAAAGGAATGCCTTGGGAAAAAATCCTGATACGTTCCTGTCTTCAGGTAATGACCTCAAAGTGCCAAGTGTACTTATTTTGAAAGAGGGAAGTCGTCACTAAAATAATCATAGCTGCCGTTTGTTATTAATTACCCCACCCTTAATATGAGACCAGATTTCCATCTTTTTTTCTACTTTCTGTGATTCTATTTTTTCTTTCTTACAAGGAGGGAGGATGCTTATCTATTGTGTAATATATCAGTAACAAGGCAATGCTCATATCTCATACTGGCACAGCTATTTCCTATTACTGACAGAAAATATGCAGGGCATGCTGGGGATTGATTAGATATGCAGAATGAGGAGTAACTATGAAAGTAGAAAGGGAAGATCAGGCATGAGGTCTACAATGAAGTCTGATATCCAGACAGACAGAAAGAGATCAACACCAGTGTATTTTTCCACTATGAGAAACCAGTTTGATTTTGGCTCGTGCCTGTAATAGGAGAGACTGTAAGATTTTTAGTACAGGGGAATTCAGTTTCATATGAGGCTTATGTTTTATAGAATACTCTATTCAGTGGATAACTCAGAAGGGTAATGGGCCATGAATTACCTGCAGAGGCAGATGGATGGGATGAAGAGTCCAAAAGTTTGGCTAAAAAAGGACTGAGAACAGGGAAGTTGAGATGAGAGCCAGCTCATGTAGCTAGACTTCTCAAATGATGCATCCTATGGGAAAAAATAATGGTAGTGCCCTCAGCCAAATCTGTGGGTGAGAGCATGCAGACATTTTATGAAGAGGTAAAAGGTTTTGTGTGCTAGGTGGGGGTTGCTTTCCACTATTTGAAATCTTTCTAAACTATGTGCTCATTAGTGAGGAACGAGATCTAAGTAGAGATGACCACATTTTTTTTTTTTTTTTTTTTTTTGAAATATCAGTGAAAGCTTTCATCAACATTCTGGATGAAAAAAGACATAAGGAAGACTTGTCATAACTTCATGGATATTTTTTCTGTTCTTCTAACCACCTTAATATTTAACAGAAATTAGAAGCCAAAGGCAAGGACTTTGCTAGAAAATACCATCTGGTTAAGATGTCATTAGAAGGAAACTATTTAGAAGACTAAGAAGACAATGCGAAGCTGCAAGTTAAAACACAAAAATCCTTAGATATGATATTTTATTTCCTAAGCACCTGCATAATTATTATATACTTATATGTGCACAACAAAAATAAACAATAATAATGCAACTTACATTTTAATGATATTTTTGACATTGAAGTTTTCCAGTGGAGCTGTATCTGGATCATCTCCTCGTTCATCCTGAAGAACAATTTGTTGGAGTATTCTGTCCAACAGCTGCCACTGCTGGAAGCTTCCTCCGTTCCTCTTATCTGCATGGAAAAGACCAACCCATGAGAACTTCCATTTCCATGCCAAAGTGCACAGATTGGCATTCCTTTCTTTCCACCTTCCATCTCAGTCCTGTATGTGGTAAATTATAGAAGACAAAGCCTAACACCAAACTGTTGCTAGCAGGTTGTTTACAAACCCCTGGCATACTGGAACAGCATATAACAGTCATGAGCAACTCTGTGCCTGATTTGCACATTCAGGCTGTGCAACCCTTTTGACATACTAACTCTAACCTGCACTTTAAACGCCTGCAGAAGTGAGTCCTCTGTGATAGCTGTTACTCAGTATTATCTGGGGCTTGATATTAGGGGGTTTTTTGGTACCTAGGTAGCATCATGACCAGGCACTGTAAAAACAATCAGATGTTCTATCTGTATGCTCAGTTATCTGCAGGTCAGTGAAACTCAAATGGCATGAAAAATCCATACAATTATGAACAAAAATTGTGGCGAGAAAGAACAGAAATTGAATCAAAGGGACTGATCCCCTAGATATCAAACAAAAGAGCCAGAGCCACATGAAGGTCACTTTAGTTCCCCAAGTTACACAACCTAGACCACCAAATTCTTTAAAACTGCTCCAGTACAATCCTGTCCTCACCTAGTGGGATTTAGCTCTTCTGCCACCAAAAATTCAGGGGCATACCTAAAGCTTAAGTACTGTCTTAAGAGTAACGTCAAGGAGACCACTGGAACAAGCAATTGCTTGAACTTGTGCACAACAGTACATGAATCTAATGAGTTCCTGAAAACATACCACTTCATTACTTTCTGAAAAAGCACACCACAGTACAGCTCCTTCATGTTCCCTTCTCAGTTTGACTGCTCAAGTGTGGCTGAAAGTAATGAAGACCAGCACCTGATACCTAACAGGATCAAGGCAGGCAGTTCTTTAGTGATCTTGCTATGCCTTTGCTCAGCTGCTACACTCTGGAAGCATAAACGAATTATTTTATTAGTTAACAAGAAGAATCCTATCACTTCTGTTGAAAACAAACGCCAATGTCATTTTTCAGTTTGAGCTCAGGAGCTCTCCACTGATGCATTGCCATGAGACTGCAGCCTAAAGACTTACTGTGGAATTTCCCAGTGACAGAACAGCTTTCACTACTGTATTGTTTCACCAGATAAATTCCTCACTGCATTGTGCTAATATTCAAAATGGTATTTATTTCTGGGAATTCCCTGATCTAAAGCACAAGGGCCCTTTCTTTTTCAAACCTTCTAATTTAAAATTATTAAAAGCTCTGTCATTGACTAACTGGAATGCCTTCGCTACTTAATTTTATTTGCAAGTGCTGAGAGGTCAAGCTGCTGCTTTAAGTATTGCTACAAAAATCTGCTGGATGGAGTCAGTGTAAGATACCAAGTCTGTTAGCCACTGCCAAGTTCTGAATGGAAGACAAGGGCAGTGTGTGTCCTGGTATCTGCAACCCTGTACCTACACCAAAGCTTCACCCAGTTCTTCAATATCCCTTGTTTTGGAAAACTGTGATGTACTCACATGGCATCTGCAAGCAGTGCTGGAGGATGGACAACAAATAGGGGTAGGCGTCTGTGTGCTTCAGTCTCTTCTTGATCAACTCAAACATCTGAGTGGCACTTTTTGTGTCAATGTGGATCTGAAGTGAGAGAAGGTAGTGAAAGAACAAGTGAGGGAAAAACCATGCACAGTGAAAGCCTGACTAAGTGAAAGATCTGAACAACACAAAGACAGGAAAATTTTCAGGAACTGGACCTCTGCAGAGTCTCCTGCAACGTCCAGCTGCAAGTTCCGGTGAGGAGCAGGCACATGGGTCTTTGAGATCAGCATTGCCATCCCCACTGCAGTATGGAAAGATCTGCAAAGTAAAGGGCTAAAAAGGTGGGAGGCACGCAAAGCCACCAAGAGCTCTTCTGGAGCAACCAAAACATTTGAGTCCTAGAAAGTGGTGGCACAAATAGTAGAAGCTAAGCAGTAAAGGGCTAGCTGTTCTGTATCAGTGTGCAGCAAGAGCTGGTCATGAAGAAAGAGGAAACTATAACTATTCTGAACCCTACAGCCTCTTACTGTTGCTAGAGGTTGTGGAAACTGTCCTTGTTCTACGCTTATCCTTAAAATGTTCCCACTATAAAACACTGATCCTCTCCACAGGCTCTGAGGTGACAGTCTTCAGAAGAGTTTCCTGTAACCTTGGGAAAAGTATCAGAGAAGAGCCCAAGCTTCACCCATAGTCCTGTAAAGGGAATGTCTAAAACTGGAATGCATCTGGATCATCAGGACGGAGAACATGAGAGCAGGGTGGAGAACTCCTCCACTCCTGAACCTTCAGCCAAACAAAAGAAAGAACTCTGTCAAAGATAATTGGCAAAAGCCCTGTCTGTGATCATTGTTTTCGTTATTCACATATCACAGACCCCCTACTTGCTAAATGGGAAACAGTGAAAACAAGAGCACAAGCCACTCTCAGCACCCAAGTCAATCATTGTTTTCAGGGAACAAAAAGGGAAGTTGTACCAAGCATCCGAAGTCGATGTTCAGCTTTGGCAAGTTCAGGTACTCCAGAGAAGAACTTACCAGGTCAAACCGCTTGGCAAGTTCCAGGTCATCTTCATTTCTGACCATCTCGAAGAAATCTAAGTGCCTAAGAGAAAACAGAAAAACAAAACAAACAAAACCTGCCAACGTTCATGGCATAATTCAGACTTAAACTAAGCGTGTCACTACAGAAGAACAACACCTAATTTCCAGCTAGAACACCTGGAAACTGCAAGCCTTTCTTACATGAAGTGCTGGGATAGGTATGAAACGCAGCTCATGGGGGTCAGTCACAGGCCAAAATGAATGGCTGACTGAGGTACACGTGCTCTTTAATCCTTGTGCTAAGTCACTGTGTTGAGGTAAGGCTGCTAAAAATCAATATAAAATAGGAAAGGGATGTTCTGTTTGTGACGAATGCAATGCCTGCAGTGATAATACATTTCTGAAAAGTCCATGCCATACCTGTTAGCCAGATATTAGGCCATTAACAAGTAGTTTCTTTTACACAGAGAAGCAGAGATTCATTCAGTGGATTAGTTAAACACTAGAGCTCACAGCTGTCTTTACATTTGCTCATTGATGAGCAGAGCAGCATGCCTCTGTTGGGGTCTGGGGCACCTGGTGAGAGACACATTTGACCACGGCCTCTGGACTTCTCTTGCATGGAGACCAGAGCACAGCAGATGATGTGGAGAAAGATGTGGCACGTCTCCCTGTACAGACCTGGCATATAGTCTATGTAATCCAGGCATCTGGGATCCTCTCAAACCTCTGTTATCATTCTCATCACTGTAACATGTAAGATCCAAAAGTGCCCCTAAGCCCCTCCTGAATACTCCTGATTACTGACTAAAGGAACAGGGCAGTTCTATTGCCAATAGGACAGATTCTCTTCTTGGTTATAACGTTGTAGATCAGAAGTAACATTTCTGGTTCCAGCTCTGCAGCACACTGTAGACATATACAACTGAACGCAGTTAGTCCCTGTGACATTAATACACAGGTATATGCCTCCACCTGCTCAAAGATGTGAGGCCACTCTTTATGACAGGCAGATGGTACTAAGCTGGTGCTTATGCAGAATCTCAGGCACATGACATTTTCCCCCAGGGATAGCTCTGTCACCCTATGGCAGCTCCTGACTGGATGTTTGAGAAAATGGTGGCTTGAAAGCTGCAAGTACAGGCCTGATCCACAGGTTTTTTCGCTATGTGCTTTGGCAAACAACACTTCTATCTAGGAAATTCCAGATATCAGATACCTACAGATCAGTCCTGCTTGGTAGGAGGGGGCTTGGAGCAGCAGACAATAAGGGATAGCAGCATGTCAGCAGGTCAGTGCCTCTCCACAAAGCTTAATGTGGTCACAGGACGAGGTAGATTCCCACAGCTGCCTGCTCTTACACCTTAAAATGCTTTATTTTGTTGAGCAAATGGATTTTACCAGGTTTCTCATTGGTTCATCAGCCTTTTAGCTTCCTGAAGTGTCTCGGTCAAATTGTTCAGATTGTTTACTCCAAGTTTATTTCAGCATGTGGCTTTGTGAAGGGTTTAATTTAAGGTCGTTATCAGCTTTAATTACTGTGGCAAAATATGAAATTGCTAGTGGAGAAAGCGTTTAATATCCATATAACTTTTAACACAGTAATTTGAAGGTGCCATCCAGTGTTACATTTTGTGCAATAGCAGGGCTGTTTGAAGATCCTCCTCATTCTCTCTTGCTCCCTTGGCATCTCTACCCCTTCACCTACCACAGGTCCCCCTTCTCTCACAGTTATGCCAGTGCCACTGTTTGGGAAGTTGTGGTACAAGCTAGATCACGAAAACCACTGAACTTGTAGAAAAACCTTGGAAACTCAGAAGCTGCGCCTTGACCACATGTACTTAGTCTCAGTGAAGCCAATCAGCTACTGGCTTCCTTCCCTCCTAACAGGACAGGCTTTCGTTCCAGCTTTGCTACAAGAGAAAAAGAATTAGAACTTTTGTTGTTGTTGTTGTTCTGATTGCTATCTCCAGATTAGAAGAAAAGCAATTCAGTAACTCCTTGCCACAGCCATTGCCAATTTAGTATGTGTGTTCCCTACTTCATCTGCTGATTTTAATTTTAAGGAAAAATCTTTTTTTATTTACAGGAAGTCAGTTTTAGGGAGAGATAGAGACACAAAGACATCTTTGTGCTTAAATCTGAAATGTAAATGGAGAAGAGTTTCTAAGAACTCTTTCTGTTCATCAGTAACTGTTCTCAGAAAACATGTCTTACCTGTCCAGTGTGGCATTCTCATGTCCTCTTAGCTTGTCAATGACTGGTTGAATTCCTAGCATTAGAAACTCGTATCGTAGGTGTAATCGGAACTCCAAGTTGTCCTTAAAAAGTGAGGGGAAACCAAGTTATTAGGTTCCAAAAGGTTATAATCACATTTAAAAAAAAATGTTACTTAAAACCTCAGCTCTTCCCTTTTTAATACCCTCTATTCTGACATCAAATCCACAGGATGATTAATTCCAGTAAAATAAGTTAAAAAAAAAAAATAATAATGCCTTTGCCTCTGTTTCACTTAAAAATACAGTCCTCATTTACCTACAATGAGCTCTGCATACCCAGTCAGAAGGACAGCACACTCCATGTTGTTCCACAAAGAACAAAAATTATTAGTGTTTATTCTGCTAGTCCATTAGAGGTCCGCCTCCTGCTTACAGATGAACAGTACTACAGTCTTCCTCCTAATTTTTATGTTTATTTGTCATAAAAATCACCATCTACTCTGGCAAACTTGACATCTATTCAGTGGGATATTACAGGACTGCTGCATTTAGAGACAAATATATTGCCAGACAGAGCTCTTACGAGCTTGTTTTCTGTTGTGGTTTAACCAAAAAAAGAAAAGTCAATGTAACAAAAGTAACACTTTTAATAAAACAAAATCAGTTTAAACTATTCTCCAGACTGAAAAGAAAGCCTTGTTGATGCAAGAAAACCAACAAACTGTCTTTCCTGAAATGCCTTCCTTTGACATCTTTAAGTTAAAACTATTTGAGTTTGGCTTTGAGTCAAAGTAACTTAACATTTCAAAACTTTTCTGAAGGTAAACCAAAATGTTTTCGAAAAGGCTGAAATCAAGAGGTAAATGCTTTGCAGTTCTTGAAAAGAAAAGAAAAACAACAAACACACAATCTGAAGCTATCATATCAGTGCAAGTAGTCTATGAAGTAGTCTATGTTATATTAGAAGAAGCTGGCAATAAAATAATATGGAAGACATTATAAGACTGATATTAACAATTCAGCATTATTTTCCACAAACTATATCCACTCAATAACACGAGATTTGTGATTTAATCTGCTAGCCATTTCCAAGGTAAACCGATGAAAGCACGACATTTCAGAAGGAATTTCCAGGGCAGTGACTCACCTCACCAGCACCAGCATTCAGAACAGCATTGATAAAGGACATGATGGCTGTTTTGAGATTTACTTCATCTCGGTATCGTCCCATGCTCCGGTCTAGCTCATTCAACAGTGTCTGAAACAGAACAGCAGGCTGGGTTAGAGGTTATAGTCTAACTTCTCGCACCATTTTGCATACTGTTCATGGGATATGCACACAGTCTGCTTTTGATTTGCTATATATTTGCTTAAAGAAATCATTCTTTTCAGGCAAGGCTGTTAGAAATTTTGGACATGCCACAATAAACAAATGAAAACTAGTGATAGGAAAAAAATGCCCACCTGATCCTAGTGCAAAAAAAAAAAAAAAAAGTTGTTTTTTTTAGACAAGCTATTATCTGAGAAAAAGCAGATGCCCTTTACAGTTCCTGCCAACATTATCTAAGAAAGCAGCAGAATGATGTCCTTGCTAGCCAGTTAACTCTGTATGGTGAATATGACAGAGAATTTATACATACAGAAAAATACCATCAGATTCATACATCCTTTCTACTCACATCACTCAAGTAATTTTCATTATTTTCTTGGATCTCATCAGGAGGGATTGCACTTATGTATACATACAACCGGAGAGAATTCTAAAGAGAAGCTGTCTTTTGAGGAATAAAGCCTATGCATGGACCTTGGAAGATTTCTCCTTGTTCCTTCACTTACAACCATTTCACATAAAGGAGACAAATACTTACTCTTGGTAAGCTCCTATTAGGGATTTTCAAAGAACAGGAATATCCCCTGTGCATACAGCTCCAAAGCTCAAAGGTGAATTACACAGCTCTACTGGAAGTGCAGTTAAGCTCCAGTTTCCTTGTTAAGGAATCGTAGAATGGTTTGAGTTGGAAGTGACCTTTAAAGATCATCTAGTCCAACCCTCCTACAATGGGCTATGACATCTTTCAACTAGAGCAGGTTCCTCAAAGACCTGTCCAGCCTGACCTTGTACACTTCCAACAATGGGGCATCTACAACTTCTCTGGGCAACCTGTTCCAGTGTCTCACCACCCTCACTGTAAAAAAATCTCTTCCTTTTATGCAAACTAAATTTAGCCTCTTTTAGTTTAAAACAGTTACCCCTTGTCCTGTCACTACGGGCCCTGGTAAAATGTCTTCCTCTGTCTTTGTTATAAGCTCCGTTTATATATTGACGGGCTGCTACAAGGTCTCCCCGGAGACTGTACGTCTCCCTGTTAGCCAAATAGCAGGGATATTTATCATTCAGGGGGTATTTAGCACAGAAACACTTTTGATCTAATCTCTACATACTTATAGATATTTCACCACAATCTTTTGAACATCAGGAGACAAAGGAGAAAAAAGACTAGACAAATAATGTTGGTAGCCTGTGCATTATACAGTCTATTTAGGATTAATTCCACTTGAATATTTACCAAAGAGGTTATATGTAGAAATTGATTAGCCACGAAAGAAACTATACTTTTAGCTTTGTGCTGATGACCATGAATCTTCTCTTCAGGATCTTCTCTGATCAGTTCATAATTCCAGGGATGATTTTCCTTACTGGAAGAGTAACAAATTCCACTTGAGAACTGCCAGTTCAACTGTATGTGTCTCACTCCAGCGTTAATAATAAACGCCCCACACTCATATATTTGTTTTGCTGATGCACTAGAAAAGACAGAATTCTTTTTACTCTTCCCAAGAAGTTTTGACCATAAAGGGAGATTGAAGACAAAAATAACTTTTTAGTGTTCAGCTCAGCAGATCCATCTAAATAATATTTTGAAGCTATGATGCTGAGTAAGGAAGTTCATTTTCCTTTAGTCAGTCTTCTGTCCCTGGCTACTGAAAGTGTTCATTCACAGCAAAATCTTTCCTGTGTTAGTCATCAGTTTCGTAGGTCTCTCTTGTTTCCAGTAGAAAACAGACATCACCACGGAGATCTGCCACAAGAAACTTGGGGAATATCCCTCCTGTGCATTCCCCAGGGGAAAGAAAACAATCCCGGCTTCACGCAGACCCTTTGCTTGTTTTTGTGTAAAAGTCTTTTGATCTATTATACACTGCCACTGACAGCTACTCTTATATCTGGACTTAGTATGTTCACTTTCAAGCAACCTTTGATTTCATAAACTCTTTTTTCTTGCATCTTTTATATTGCCCAGCTAGCACCTGCAAATGTCCCTACTCCTGGCATTTGAACTTCCATCACAGTCATGATTTCCCAGTGGTTATATCATGGCCAAATATCAACCCCTCCCTCATTTTGTTAGACATGGGAATGAATCTTACATAAAAATACATGAAATGCCCTACTGAGTCAGACTGACGGTCAGTCCAGTCCAGCATCCTATCTCTGACAATAACAATAGGAGACTATATAAGAGGTCTTTAAATTCACTAACAAACCTTTCAACAAACTCTTCAATTTGACAAATAAGCAGAATTGAAATAAATGAGAGAATTTACTTCTGTTACTGTCAGATTTGAGACTGAAATTCAACACACATGTGTCTTCTTGGAATAATTTAAAGTAGCCGTTACCACAGAAGCATCAAAACCAAGGATGGTTTTGCTGGTTTTCTTCAGAGGCCTCATTCCTACCATAAATTTTCTCACACACTTTTACGAATATGCTTGACTCTGTGCAACAGCACGTCAGATACAGCATCCATACAGGTTGAAGAATGTTAACAAAAGTTTTCTATCCCTCTTTTTAGAATGCTGAACTAGGAGCAGAATGCAGTGGGGGCCAAGCCAAATTCAGGGCAAAGACCCCAAAACCTCTGGGTTGCACTAAGCTAACTGAAGAGCAGCTCATCTTCATGTGACTGTTCAGCTCTAGAAGGAAACACTGTAAGTTCACACAATTCCTAAAGATCAGAGTCTACACCCACACACCATGGCCAAACTCCAATAACTCTAACCCTTTGCAAATGGCTGCGGTTCAAGTCTTCACTTGAACATTTCCTATGAAAAAGATATTACCACACCTCTTGGCAGTCAGCTATGTGGCCCAATTGATCTTATGGTTATAAAGTTTTTTCCTAGTATTTAAGCAAAACTTTCCTCACTTAATCCCATTATTCCTCATCACTGACATCCAGTAGGGTTTCATTCAATCTGTAGCAAACCTCAAAAGGCTTTGGATGAGCCCTGAGGCGAAGAAGCAAATCAAGTGGGAATACAGGATTTTAATTTGTACCTTGTTAACTCCTCCACTACAATTCCAAATTGATCAGATTTCTCCCTACAGATTATGGTCCATACTGACGGTGTCTAACACAAACCAGGTGAAGGGGCTCTGGAAGGAATGCTCCTAATCTCCACCTTTCCAACTGACAATATCAAACTTCCTTTATCTCAAACTTCAAAATTTCTAGCAGCGTTAAGGAGGAAAACAAGCATGTTCTGCTCAAAGCACCCCAGTTAATATTTTCATCAGCAAGAGAAATCAGCTCCTTTCAGACAGTATCTAACACCTAGGTTCTCTCAAGACTAAAAGAAAAATTCTTTCTCCCCACAGGGGTCCCCAGCTGGGTGGATGTTTCAGACAGCAAACTACGCTGGAAGGGCACCGGAACATCCTGACACACTTTTCTGGGCCAGTACAGCATTATGACTTCGTAACATTAGTTTAACTCAAAATATGGAATGTTAAAAAGTACAACATGTTACAATGTCATAACACAATGCGTTCACTCCACAGGAGGAATGAGAGGAAGCAGCAAGCATAACAACAACCAGAAAGGCAACAACTTCGGGAAGAGTAGGACTGTGCCCCTTTCACAAAGGAAACCAGTCATAAATAGGATAATGCAGACATTAATGACGCTACGGTCAGAGACTCTTCTTTCTCAGTTTTCACAGCATTTTAAAAACCTCCATCTTCACAAGAAAAGCACCTAAGAAATTCAAGATAAAGCAATTTTTTCATGGTCACACAGTGGGCCAGTAACAAAATTACACCCGTACCAATTTTTAATACATCAGATGGAAAAGAATCCTAGCAAGGACACCAAGGGCTCATCTTCCTAATTCCACATTTCTGCTTTGAGGGTTTATTGCTTGGCTTTCCAATGTTTTCTTTCATGTCTCTTCTTTAAGGGGCAGAGCAGAATTTGTAGGCAAAGAAGCATATTTCAAACAAAAATTGGATGAAGCAAAGGCAGAGTGTTTCCAGATTGCCTAAGGAATGAGGCTGAAGGCATGCCATATATTATTGTGGTATTTGAGTAAAGATGGAATACGACTCTGAAGAGGACAGTTTTCAAGGAATATCTTAAAAAAGGAACTGCAGACTGCCTATTGGACATTAAAGGGAGAATTATTCCAGGCAGAAGGGCAGCATGAAAGAAGGGTCAGACATTAAAGTAGGCAAAGGGATCAGCTCAGGCAAGAAGCTGTGGCAAATGTGAGAAGACAGGAAGAGCCACAATATAAACTCAGACACAAACAAAGTACAGAATCTTGTTGCAAGTACCAAGACAAAGTTGGTCCCGACGGACCTGTGAACACACTGAACAGCGGAGATATAGGGTGCAGCTGTAAAAGGCATTCTACTGAAGACTGAAGTCTCAGCAAAGAATAAGTTCTGGAGAGTCTCCCATAGCCTTAAAGTGACTTGTCTCTGAAATTAAGGGTTAGACTGATAATTGCAGTCAGTAGATGAAATGCTGCAATTTAGAAAAAAGCAATATTTTACATCAGAGTTTCTACTCAGAGCAAAATATGAAATTTTGCTAAGGAGATAGTCCTTCATATTCATAAAAGTTCCACCCATATTTCCCATTAACTTAAATTTTAAAAAAAAGAACACATCAAAAAGCAAGGATATCCTGTCCAAAATATTTCAGCACAGTTTCATTAGTGCTATTCAGTTAGTATGACCTGGTGCAATTTAGTTAAATTAATTTGGATTACAATTATATTATTATGTATTACTGGGTTTACAATTCTGTCACGCAGGAATCTCACTGGAATTTGGATTTTGACTTTAGATATAGTAGCATAAAACTAGAAGTTTCCTAGTAGGAAACTATAACTCCTAGTAGGAGTTCTAGCAGGACAGAGCCAGTGCAAGTTTAGTAAGAATGGTATCTTGTGTTGCAGCTTTCCTTCTTTGTTAATTCGCCAGTTGTTGGGTCTTCTGACCACTTTGGGCTAGCTGTGCCAGCTAACAAGAGTTGTGCTTAGGACACTGACCAGCAAAAACTTCTGACATTCAACAAAACATGCCATGTTTTATGTGACTGTGCTAATATGTGATCTCTACATCACCATACTTGAGCGCATGGAAATTGGAAATAATCAGTGTTCATTCTGAAGTTGTTAGCAGCAACTTGTGCATGAGCTCAAGTTTTAGATGGTTGCCAGTAAATAATTCTGAACGTATCTTCCTCCTTCTTGAAAAGAGGTGTGGAAGAAGAACCATGCACCTTCAAATTTTTATACATCACCATGATATTTCTCTTCAAGAAGACAAAAAAGAAAGAAAATAATTTGTGTTCGGGAAAAATAGATCTGGAACAGTGTGTCTTACATTTACCTTCTGATTCCTCAAAGTGCATAGTGCTGGTCACCACTGATGATATGGGTGAGAGTGGGACACTTAGATTTACTGCAATCTGCAAGAGGGGAAAATAAATCCAAACACATAGTACACAAACAAAGTGCCAGTTTTCATAGATGAGGAGGGATAAATTGACAGCAAAGTGGCTGAAAGGGATGAAGAATATTATCAACCACCACTGTGAGGAAGGCAACTTAAGGAAGAACAACCATTGCACTGATGTTGTCACAGGTCAGCGTTACCTGTAAATGGGTTATTGGACATCCAGTAAAACTGAGCTTAGTACGGTTTCCAGAAAGCCCTACACTTTTTATTTCACCAGAACAGAGTTTCATTTTCAAAACTGAGAATCTGAAATTATTACCCTCTTAGGTATTGTGTCTCTAATTTGGCCATTGCATTACAGAGCTAGATCTAGAGAAAGACTGGGCAGTGCCTTTACCGTTCCCTGCTTTACTTCCCCCCCTATTAGAATCAATCTGCAATAATGAACCACAGAGCCATAGACCTAAATTCCTGCTCTGCACATTCAAAGTATGTTTCTCCTCTTCCTACAGTTTAGTTCCTTTTGTATTACTTTTCACAGGAAGAGTTCTCATTGTTTGATTCTGCCAGATCCCCAGTTGTGGGGGGTCATTTTCAACAGAACAGTGATTAGGTGTGGCCAGTCAAAGTCCACCTAAAGCTGCAAGCTCTAAACTATTCAGACACTTCAGTACACTGAAGGATGATGCTAGTTGCTCAAGCTACAGGAAACACATCCCCAAAAGAGTTCACTTTGAAACCTGAAGGATCTCTTCAGATATTTGCAAAGTCTGCATTACAAAGATTACACTCAGGACTAGGATAAAGAAAAAAAGGCTTTCACTGGCTTTCATTGTACACCACATCGTTGAAGTTTACAGTAAAGGTACAGTATAAGTGTCTTCAGCTCATCTTTTTCTTAAAATGACCTCCCACAGTCAAATTACAGTGGACGCTTCTCTTGATTACTAACATAAGACTGTTCTGAGACACAGGTGCGGGAGGGCAAGAGGCAAAGAGATATAATACTCTCTTAACTGACAAGTCCTAGAGTATCAGAGAACCTTCCACTAAAATGTAAGGAAGACCATGACCACATTTGTTTCATCAGCATTTAAAAATTCCCAGTCTCTCTGTTAGAAGAAAATGACTGAAGATGGATGAGGAATGTCTCGGGATGAATCCTTACCTCCTCAATAATTAGACTTAAGATAATGGTTTGTGTAGTGGAAAATCCCATTCTAGCATCTAGACACAAGCATCAGAAATTACAAACAAGAATGCATCTCTTCTGCTAAATCATTTTGGGTGTTGGGTGATGGGGGGGGATTGTTTTGTTGAGGAAAGAAAAAAGAGAGAGTATCCATTTACCTTTCATTTTTTTCCCCAATGGAAAAGCATTTTGACCAAAGCAAGCATTTATGCAAAGTAATCTTTCATGAATGTGAGGGTTGTAAGCATCTGCAAATCATTACACCAGATTCCTCAAAAGCTCACACCACGACCTGTGCTAACATGCTTTGCTCAGCAATAACGTATATCTCAGTTATTCAGTAAATTTTAAACCAATTTAAAAAAAAGAAAAAAAAAAAAAAAAAATAAAGAGAGAGTGAGGACCCAAATAGGAGACATTGAGTAAACTCAGCATCTATCTCCCATATGGACTTATTAAGCAGAGTCACTAGGTCAAGTAAGGACAAGTTAACACAGCACCACAAGTGTGTCAGAGTTGTGAGTTACCGCTGCTTTTTGCCGAGCACCTAAGGGTGCCCCCACCTATCTCCAAGGTACACAAGAATGTCAAATTGATTCAAGAAGGATTCTCCATTTCAGCTAATTACTAGAGAGCAAGCTGGATGGGGCAATGCACATAGAGGGGTGAACCTGCCAATGCCACACATAGGTTAATACTAAGCCAAGATCTCCTGCACCTCAGTCTCAGGTCTGATCAACAGTCAGTGAATCCTGTAGTGCGTTCAGTCCTAACAACGAACACTGGCAGCTGCTGTTCATGAGCACAGACTGTTTCTGCATTCACTTTTACAGTCACAGCTCACTGTAGCCCAAAATCCACTGATGCATTAGCTGGAGAGGAGGCCGCAGATAATGTCTGACAGCAACAAGGATCCACAGCCTGTTGGCCCAACACCACCCTTATCATTTCACCTAAGAACATAAAGTAAATGGGTGAGGTTACCCCAAAGTTTAGGAGCTACAGCTTCACACACAGCTACGGATTCTGTTACATCTTTTTGTAAAGGTGCTCGGTTTGCAAGGAAGAGGAACGTTATAACAGTAGCCAGCACTATCCACAATAAAGCCTGTCAATGATGAACTGACCTGTCTCAAGGTCTCTGAGATTGAGTTTCCCTTCTGTGTTCTGAATGGGAGATATTTGAGCCAACAATTGCTAAGTGTTGACAATGCACAAGCTGATTGCTAAGTGGCAATTGAAGTGCCTCCACTATCCATTATTTAATCCACTGTCTCCATTATTTAATCCACATCTCTTTTATTACTAAATTAATGGCTTTAAAATCAGGACAGAGGCTGCTGGAATTCTACGGCTTCAGCTTCTAGGGTAGAGCAAATGATTACCACGCCAGAAATGCCATCAGGTGTGAACAGATTAGCATCTTTCATTTAACATAACAAACTGCCATTTTAAGGTAAAATATAGGAAATTTTAAATTAGCATTAATGACAAGCAATCAGTTCTTGGAAAAAAAAATAGATATGCTGATAATCCATTTGAGGAAGTGCCCTTCCTAAAACAAAATGAGAAATACTGCCTTTTTACTACCTAGCATGTTTACAACACATGCACGGTAAAAATCACTCCCTGCAGAGATTCATCATACTGGGTGTTTCTGGCAAAGTATCCTCCTTGTACCTGGAATCTTGTCCTTTCTGCAGCATAGACTTGGTAGTGAAGCATGGCTTGCAAGACTTTCTTGTGACCATCTGGTACCAAGCAGACAGCCCCTAAGATCTCCAGCACAGCAATCTTGGTCTTAATGTTCTCAGTCCGTAAACTCTGGGAGATAATGTTGATACTCTCTGGGTGAGCCAGGACATGAGCCCGTCCCTGGGAGTTATTCATCAGTGCCTTGATACACCCTATAACGGATGTGTGTATACGGCTCTCTGAGGTCTCGTAGTCCATGCTCTTCAGGAAGTTCAGCAAACAGCTCAGGCCATCCAGCTCAATAAACCTGGTCACAAACCTGAAAACAAAAAACCAAAAACACAAGTAGGAAAAATAACAAAAGTAGACCAAAGGCAATTTATTCAAAAAATACCATATTATTAAACCCTGTATGTGTAAAAGGTGGCTAGTTTTTAGCCTAAAGTTCACAGAATAATTCCCAGGTACTGAAGAAAAACAAAACAAAACAAAAAAGAGAGAAAACAGACTAGCTAATAATGGTGTGTCACATAGTTTCAGGGCAATTATATTCAATCACCTTATGACTCTACTGTTCGATTCACTGTGTTCTTTGTTGCAGTTACCACCAAATACCTGCTGTGCTCCACCCCAAAAGCTGCTGCATTATCAAGACTGAACGTATGCTTTCAAATTGCAACATATGACATACATGCTAATACACACTAGATACATTTTCATACAGACTCATCACTACACTTTTAATTATGAGTTCAGATTATCTTGAAAATCATTTTTAGACTTAGGTCAAACTTTTAGCCAATACTACTTATAGGCTGCCACTGCCCGGAGTGGGTACACTGACAGAGGCAAACTATACTCTGCCCTAGTGAGGCCTCATCTGGAGTACTCTGTCCCGTTCTGGGCTCCCCACTTCAAGAAAGCTGAGGAGCTACTGGAGAGAGTCCAGTGGAGGGCTA